GGAGAGGCCACATTTGTTTCAAGTGCCTCCAAGGGGCTTCAGGTCCCTTGACCACTATGAGCCCCAGCTTGCACATCTATAATGAGGTCTGTAATTGTGCCTGTCTCCTCTGGCTGCCATTAGAGTCAGTACCTACAGTACTTATTTAGGGCCCTGTGTAGCCCATGTGGGCTACTCAGTGAGTGATGGATGTTGTCCCTGCTGCAGCAGCTCCTATTGTAGGTGTGTCCTCCATGTCCTGCTGGAGTGCACTGCACCTGCTTTCTGCAGCGTGCATTTGTGCTGGCTGACAGTTGCACTGGCTGACTCCTGGTTGTTACCAGGAGCAGTGCTTCCTGCTCCTTAAGTGGGTCAGTGTAAGTGTGACCAAGTAAACATAAAATGCAACACACATGGTCAAGTTATTGTACCGCAGTGTTTGACTTCATTGGTGTGTCTGCACAGATATGTATTCTTTCCACTGGAAAAGTCGCTCTTCTCTGTGGGTTGCTACCAGAGGAGTTTGTGAAATACGGAACTGTTGCAGGACCTCAGGCAGTGGGTGGAGTTAAACTTTGCCTTCAAAGGTACTTTCTGACCTTGAGATTTGGTGAGGAATTCTTTGCTGTAAAGTAAAGCCTTTGGTTGTGTGGGTCTCTGAATGGAAAATGGGAGATGAAATGGATGATTCCCATCCATCCAAGCCCTGTATGTGGAACTGCTTCTGGTCTGGAAGCACAGCTCCTAGAGGAAAGGGCCCCTATTGGCAGCTTTAATTAGGCCCCTCTCCCTTGTTTCTGTCCTACTCTCATTCTGGCTCTTAGAAGTTCACCTTCCCAAGCTTCCAGTATCCAACAGAAAATAGAGAAGGTCTGTTTTCCAGTGCAACTCTTCAGGCTAGGATGGTGAGCTGCTGTGTCAGGATCTTCCTAAGCGGGCCTCTGACAGGTGCCTCCATTGCAATGGACAAGTGACAGGTAGGAAGGCTGGGTTCTTGGCAGGATGTGGTTATGTCTCTAGAGAGAGGCCCTTGTCTTGGCCCTTCTGCATGTTCACCTCATGCTTGAAAGATCTTCAGCCCGGTGGTAGCTCTGCTGTCTTAGTTGGTGCTGTGTGGAGCCAGAAGAGTATCAGAGGCTCCTACATGACTCAGTGACATTGCAAGATGAGGACTGAACCTATAACTTGGTAGCTTAGCAGAGTCAGATGACCTGCACACAGCCATCCCTTTCTTGGAAAATGAAATAGGCAAAACTAGGTGACACTCATCCTCAGAGAAGACCTGGATTCCTAACCTCTGGAGGTACAGAATTAGGGCAAAGAGCTTGTTTGCTGGTTTCTCTGAGGACAGCATTAGGGGTGAAGGGATCCCTGACTGGATCTGGGTTATAGCCCAGATGGTTGCCCTTGCTGTCTCAGCACACGGCCCATCCTCCCTGTGAAATGACTTAAGGAGCACATTGTCTCCCCAGTGCTGAGATAGCTCCAGGACAGCAGAGGTGGATGCCAGCCCTGGAGACCCTTGGTGAACTCTGTGAGTGCAGGGGTGTAATTGAGTGAAGAGTAATGGGGTAGATGGTGACAGCGTTGTAGCCTCTGAGGGCTGTGAGGGTAATCAGAGAATGTGTGGACATGGCCTGACACTCAGTGAGCACACAGAATGTGACAGCCATATCACATCAGCACACAGGCACTATGAGGAGCACTGGTGGCAGTGGTGCTTCCTCCCTCAGGTGGTGCTGTTGAGGATTGGAGGGAACTTCTTATTCGGTGGTTGGTGTGCACCAGGACCAGTTTTCCAGCCTTCCTTCCTTTTTTTTCTTTCTTTTTTAAGATTTATTTATTAATACAAGAACCGGGGTATAGGTCAGAGGCGCGGGAGGGTGAGAGAATTCACCTGAGACAGAGTAGGGAGCAGAACAGGCAGACGGACCAAAGACACTGCTGAGGGGAGCTGCGAGTGAGGCAGGAGAGGTCGGCCACCCCATGTGGGTTTCTCCCTGGCCAGCCGGGAATCGAACCCATGCTGCAGAGGCTGCGGACAGCCCCACAGGGCAGCGCTCAACCCACTGCGCCACCTGGGACGCCCCTAGTCTTCCTTTCTTTTATGGCCACTGTGTTCTCTCCGTTTCCTATTCTATTCTGTCTCTGTAATGGGACTAGGTGATGCCTGCCACAGTGACAGATATTTACAGGGGCATGAAAAAAGTTGTAATGAGGTCCTGACGAAGAGATAGTACAATTCTCACCTTCATTCCTAGCCTGTTACACTTTTGCCTTTCACTAAAGCTACTGAAAGTCTTTCTGGAAGAAGGAAGAGCCCTCATTTCACACATGAGGCAACAGTCCCAGAGAGGTTGTGGGAAATCTTGTGCTGGGCTTCGTGACTGAGTCCCATGGCCACACCCAGCTGCAGGACTGGCTGGGAAATCTTGTCTGTCACTGGTGGCCATGTGCCTCATGAATGCAAGGGCAGTCCACGAGGGGGTGACCCAAGCCTAGGAACGGGTAGTCTCCCAAGAAGAGTTTGTACCCCTGGGAGGGGAGAGGGTGGTGCCCACTGGGTTGGTCCATTGAAAAGAAAATACTGGGATTTCTGTTGACATGTTTATTGTCCAAATTTAACTTACCTGTGTAAGTGTGTTACAATTTATAGTGTTTTGGCGCAATGATGCAGGTAGATGACTTACCAAATCTGTGCATCTGTATGTCATAGATGGGACTGTGCATTGTGCACTCATGGGCCCTAGGGTCAGGGCAGGCATTGAGGGCAAGAGAGTCACCTTAGAAGGGCCCTTCTGCCCTCCCCTCTCCAGCTCTGTGATCCCACTCCTGACCATTCTGGGAATGAATCCTTTGGACATGTTCACCCTTCACAGCTCACATCCTAATCCTCACAGTGTTCTCATTTCACACCCAGAGTACCCTGCCTTTTCTGGAGCCACAGGGTATGTGTGATTATTCACTGGGGAATCAGAATTCTGAAGTAACCACCCTTAATTTGCCCAAAGATGGTTCAGGTGGGTGACTGGCATAATACCAGCAAAGGTGTGGGAATAAAGCTTCTGAAGAGTGGAAGGCTAGAAGGATCATGTGGGTTCTGCCCTGAGCTGGAAGACACATCCTGCAACTGTGGGGACAGTGTTCATCTGGGGAAGGGATTGCAGGCCCAAGGTGTTAGGGAACCACTCCAGCAGAAGGTGAGCAGGAGGTAGGTCCCAGGCTACCTGCCTAGCCCACTGCTCCAGAAAAACCCCTCTGCTTGGTGACAGGACAAACACACCCAGCAACCTCCCTTAGCTCAGGAAGCTTCCACAATTTCCTGCCTGGTAGAGATACCTACCATAAGGCTGCTTCATTCACCCAGAGCACCAGGCTTGACTTAGGTATGGACACCCTCAGTAGAGAGACTCTCACTCCTACAGGGATCAGTTCTGAAGCAGGACTCATACATAGCCAAGGGGGCATGCTTTTCCCCCACCTGAAGTTGGAGACTTCCCTGGGAGCCTTGCCTCAAGACTCTCCTACCCTGCCACTTCCATCCTGAGCCAAGGGTGAACAAGATGAGCCCAGGGGCCCATAAGGAATAGCTTCTTGGAACCTGGAAGCTGACTTCCTCTCCTGTGGGCAGGAGGGCCTGTGGCCATGTCAGTGTGGGAGCTCTGGGAATGCAGCGCCCCTCAGGTCTGGCTCCTGCAGACCTGCAACAGGGTGGGAGGAGGGAGGGGGTGGTAAATCAGGAGAGCTCCGAGATCAGCCTGAAAAGTACCAGCAAGAAGGTTGGAGCTTATGGAGGGATCTGGAAGCTTCATCCTCCCTTTGACAGATGACAGCTTTCTGATCATGGGAAATAGTTGGCCTGAGCTGAGCATCCAAGACAGACCATGTCCTGATCTTCACACCCAATCCTTTGCTTCCATAGGAGAGACACACCTATGATGCAACCCCAGCTGGTTGTCCTGGCCTTTTCCCTCCTGCTGCTTCTCCAGGAATGGGGATGGAGGAAGTAGTAGACTCTTGGGGGGAACTCAGCTGGGAAAGCTGGCTGCTGCCCCTGAGCTAGGAGCTGGGAGTTGTCCCCTTCCCTGCCGGGATTGCCCTCCCTAGGCTTGCTGTCAAGGTCTGTAGGAGCACCTCCTTGCTTCTGCAGGGAGGAGTTTTGCCTGTTGCAGCAGCTATGGTGACCTTTCTCCTTTCCAAAAGTATCCCTCTGATGAGGCCAGTGGAGACCAGCAGATGCAGGACTCAAAAGACATCTTCAGAAGGTCCTGTCAATTAACTTGTCACCTCCGTAGAGGTGACTTACAGCCTTCTTGTCTTGTTTTTTTGTTTACTATCCCTAATTTCAGTGTCTAACTGCCTTTGCTGTCAGAAAAGAAAGAAACGTCATGCTCTGTCGTTCCAGAGCTGGTCAGGCAGCCCTGTTAGGTGGCTGTGGATCATCCTGCCTGACCAGCTTGGCCTACCTTTAAAGCATTTATGATGTGTGTGGCTCTAGCCTGCCAGCCCCACAGCCTGCCTTTAAGGATGTGGCTTCTCCCTGGCCTCCTCCTTGCCTCTAAAAATAACCTTGCTATTTTGAAATAGCACCACCTCCTCTGGAGCTTTTTCTCACTGCTCTCTTGGATCAGTAACCCCTCTGAGACTAGGCTCTTGGCTCCCACTGTCATCCAGCTGTCCTCATAGCGCTGTCCCCTTCCTGTCTCCCCCTTCCTCCAGTGCTAGTTGGGATATTGTTCTCCAACTGGGATGGAATGTCCAGCTGGGTGTCCTCTAAGAAATCCAGGCCTATCCCCTGGGGGGATAGATAGGTAGGAAGTGGGGCTGCCAGGGCCAATAAGGCAGAGTACACTCCATGCCTTCGTTATACTTGGGGGTTTGCACAGCTATAAGAGGCTTAATGACCAAGGAGTGACAGGGTTTAGAAAGGATCTGGGGATGCTGCAACAATTTGTTGCCTTATTGTGCCCCCCTCACCCTTCTTGTGACTCCAAGTGACTCCCTGCCCTGTCTTCTTGCAGCCCACAACCCTCCCTCAGGGCACCATCAACATGAACCAGTGCACGGATGTGGTGGATGGCGAGGGCCGAACAGGCCAGAAGTTCTCCCTGTGCATTCTGACCCCTGAGAAAGAGCATTTCATCCGGGCAGAGACCAAGGAGATCATCAGTGGGTGAGTCTGCTTAGTGTCATCTGGAGGGGACACTTCTGCCCAAGTTGGGGCTCCCCACAAACTGGGTAGTACTGCCGTCACTTTCTTTCCTCTTCTGAGTTCCCTGTCTGTTCACAGCGCCACCGTGTGTCCCATCACCAGGCCAGAAACTGGCCTCATGTTCCCTGTGCCATTGCTTCATCCCTAGGTCTGCGAACACTTGCCAAGGCTGCCCCCTTGTGTTCTGCTTACCCAAGGACCTCCCTCTGCTGGCACTGCTCTGGTGCCAGCTGCCATGTCTTCCTAGGACCTCTCACTGCTCCACCTCCATTTTCACTGCACCCCCAGGCTTCTGTCACTCAACCAAGAAGCCTCAGTCCCCAAACCATATCTGAACGTGCCTCTCTTCTGCCTAAAATGTCATCACCTGGGGGTTCAGTACAGGTTCCTTGGCTGACCATGAAAGACACTTACCCTGCCCGCCAGCCTCACCCCACCACCTTCATGTCCCTGAACTCTGAACAACTAGTTGCTGAAAACCCCTTCTCTCTCCCCTTTCTACCTTTGCACCCCTCCATCTGTAATGACCACTCCTCCTCCATGCTGTTAGTCAGCCTAAGCAGCCACTCTTCTGAGATGCTCTCCCCACTGAGGCATTTATAAAAAATAGGGTTTGTCTGTTAGATGTGTGGCTTCCTCAGCCATTGGTAGGCCCTTGAGGGAGGAGTTGTGTCTCTGTCATCATCCCGTGCCCCATGCCGGAGCCACTCTGATACTGCTGCACACATCAGCTGCTTTGAATGGAAGGAATGGGAAGTCTCTGGATTATATCTCTCTCCCTGAGCAGACCCTGTGCAGAGGCTTGGGGGAGCCCTGGGACATGGAAAGCAGACCCAGCCATTCAGATAGTTGACAGTGCAGGGGGTGAATTGTCAAGGCCAGCACACACAGTGCATGCTACATGGTGGTGGACCAAGCCAGGAACTCGGACTTTGGATCCTGGAGAACCTCACTCATGCTTTGGGGCTTAGTAAGCTGTAGGAGGAAGTACAAACCAGGAGTTCAGGGGACCAGGCTGATTATGTCAATATAGAGTAGATGGAGTTAGAAAGTGAAGCCCTTCAGTTTCAACAAATGAAAGACCTCTCTGAGCACCAGCCAGAACTGCTGTGTGAGGAACCAGGAGCACTGCCCCAGTTTTTGCTGAGTTAAGTTCCACACCATGATGGGGGTAGAGATCTGCCTTTCCATGATTTTAGCCCCAGAACCATTTAAGAGTATAAAGGGCTTGTATGGAGTTCTCGTCCTTCAGTTGGAGACTGTGGCTCAGAAAGCAAGGGGACCCTGACCCAAGGGTAACCCCAGGCACGAGTGACAGCACAGAACCATTTGCATGTCTTGTTCACACTTGCTGCCACAGGCTTATCTAGCAGACACACCCAAGACAGGGTTCCACTGTCCAGTTGGATTCCTTGAGTCTCCCCTTGGGAGCCGGCTCTTCCAGGGAAGCATCTGGGTGACAGGGAAAGCATACCAGTGTAGGCTGGGGAGGTGTGCCCTGGGACGGTGCACTCTGTGCAGTGGTGGCATGTCACGAGACTTTAGGAGAGTAGTTATGTCTGGCATTAGTGCCTCCTTAGGTAGCTGAATCCTGCCATTAAACACTTGGCATAGACTAGGGGTCCTCTGCTGTGTCCTGAGCCCCTCTCCTGTGGCCTCTGCTGTCAGTGTGTACAGGGCTTGCCTTTCCTATGCAGCTTGGGTAGGCAAGGTCATTAGTGGACTGAGATAGGAGGTATGTGTGTCCTTGGGGTCCTGGGTGGTCCTTTGGGTGAGAGGCTTGTGCAGTAGCTTTGTGTCAAACCAGAGCAGAATAAATCACTTGGTAATTTTTCCCCTTTCTTCATCCTGGGTCTGACCCTTCCTCATCCTGCTTGGTAGGCAGGGCGCTCTCCACAGCATCCTACTCCCAGGCCCCTGCAGACCCTGGATAGCAATTTCCTCAACTTCCCCACAACAGGACACTTGCCCTCCTTCAAGGTGTTGGGCAGGGTGGCATGCCCTGGGCCTCCATCACCTCACCACCTAGCATGGCTCTTTTGTGGGTAATTCATGTGTGGTCCCTGAGGCCCTAGGATGGTTCTAAATGCACATGTCACTAGAGAGATACAGGTTCTTCTCTTGCTAGCTTAAAGCAGGAAGAGTGGGGACAGTCCATCCAGCCTTCTTTCTGGGGTCTTCTCTGACGCGACCCCTGAGTATTTGAGGACAGCAGAGGCAGCCACATCTCCCAGGGCTGGTTGAAGAAAGTTGATCGTTTCCTTGCCTTCATGCCAGGAGGTGCTTCCAGTATGTTTGGGGTTTAGCTTTGTTCAACTTTCAGAAGAGGTGGGATTTAGACAGAAATTGGCAAGGAGGGAGCTGTGCCCTCCAACCAGGCCAGGTCTGGGCTTCCCTCTTCTTTGTGCACCTACCTTTCAGCTCTGATTCCCACCCACCCATTCTTTTTTTTTTTTTAAGATTTATTTATTTATGCATACAAGAACTTGGATTCAGGCCAGAGGTGCCGAGGGTGAGAGGATTCACCAGAGACAGAGTGGGGAACAGAACAGGCAGACTGACTGAAATACACTGCTGAGGGGAGCAGCGGGTGAGACAGGTCTGCTGCACCATCTGGGTAGCTCCCTGGCTGGGGGGGGGATCGAACTCTGGCTGAAGAGGCTGTGGATAGCTTCACAGCGCTGCACTTAACCCCTTGCGCCACCAGGGAGGCCCCCCTCCGCCGCCCCTAGTCTTATCCTGGCTCTGTCTTCACAATTGGGGAGTTTGCTCAGCCACATCCCATGTGCATTCACCCCTTGCCTCTTTTTCCTGAGTGAAGTTTATTAGCGTAACATCTGGATGTCTCTAAATGCTTTCTACTAGGCTTCTGTGATAAATCTGGGTGCAGGGGGCATATATTGGTCATGTGTGCCTGGGCTGGGCATCTCTCATCCTTAAGCCATAAGCACTGCTAAATGAAGAGTGGGGTGCTCGGTGGGACCACCCACCCATTCCCATCCCTGCTGTGCCCCAGAATCTCAGGCTTCGTTCATTAGGCACAGGAGCTCCAGAAGCTCCATTTAGTCAGCAGTGCAACCACAGCACAGGTCATTTCACTTCCTTCAACGCCTCATCCTTGAGGCTCTCAGATCTGTGTAGCCTTCGATGTTGCCAGTTCAGTCACTCGACCAGTCTGCAAGGGCTCAGGGCACCCAGAAGACCTGCACCTTCCTGTCACATTCTGAGCTCCTGGGGGAGTGATTACCCTTCTAGATAAAGCTTTAAAAGGGAACTTCTGCAGGAGAACCTTGCAGTGCCCAAAAGAAATTTCGACCCCTACAGCAGGTAGGAAAGCTGGTCTTTCCAATCCTACAAGAATATAAACTCCTCACATTACATGTAATGTGAGGTCCTGGGAGAGTCTGCTCAACCCCTGGCTTTGCAGACAGTCATAGTCTCCTTTCTTGCTTTGGGACCATGTAAAAGTCACCTGTGGGACATGTGTCACAGGACCCTATCACACAGGCGATTGTTCATTCTACCAGCGAATCAGTATTACCTGGGCTGGATGAGGATAGCTGTGATTCCCACACACAAACCTGCTTCCCTGGCCATCAACTGTCAGCAGCACAATGGGCACACCTTCCCGAGACTGTTCCAGAATGCTGCTGGTTATGACCTGCCATCCTGCCCTGTCTTCCCTCTCCTCCAAATTATAGATGCATCTCTGAGTACTAAGGACATAAACCCTTATCCCTGTCCCAGGCTCAAGGTGCTGCTAGTCCTTGCAGCCTCCATCCAGGGTGCTGGCAGTGCAGGCTCTGCCTTTCTTTGCTGCTAGCTGTCAGCACTGGGCCCTAAACTGGCTGGCAGCAGACCAACACAGACCCTGGGACAGAACACTTGGCAAGATGTGAAACAGGACCTATGGTACCTTGCCCTCTGGAGAGGATGCTGGGGCCACTCTTCATCAAGCCCCTGCTCTGCTCTTCCTGTCCCCCTTTCTCCAGTCTGTTCTTGCTCTCTCTATCTGTTGTAAAATTCTGTACAGTGGAAATAGCTGTGGCCATGTCATGGCCTCAGAGATGAGGAGACTGAAGCCAAAGGGACTGGGTACCACCTGAGTTTGTGGTGAAAGGGTGACAGAGCCAGATCTAAATCCAAGCCTGTTTCTCTTTCTCTATTTCCTGCTGCCTTCCCTGTATTGGGCTAGCTGATCTGGTACCAGGTCTCTGGGCAGGGTACGTGAGTAGCTCTGTCAGGTCTTTCCTAAGGCTGAAGTGCCTAGCACCCCCCACTGTGCAGCTGGGACCCAGAAGTGAGTGAATGAGTCTGAGAGGTCAGCTCAGACTTTTAAAGTGGCCTGCCACAGGGAACTTTGATAGCTAGCATGACTCCTGGTTTCTGGCCTCAATAGGCCTAAATGGCTCCCAGTTGCAGCCCAACCATGTGCTTGCCGAATTCACGCTTGGAGGATAGTTTAGAGCTACATCTCAGCCTTGAAGATCAGGTTGGTAGTGGGAACAAGTGATGGGCCCTGTGGTCAGGCCTGCCTCCACCAAGGTGCAGCCTGCCTCAGGGTCCCTTCCTGCCTATGGTCATTGTCAGTCAGCCACAAGTCTAGTCCCACGCAACCTGGGCTTATCTTGCCCCGGCAGTGGCAAGCTCTAATATTGGGTGAAACTCTCCCCACTTAGGTGCCCAGCAGCCTAGCCACTAGGTGGAAGTAGGAAGTGTTGGGCCTAGTGCCTGGGCCACCCAACAAGGAGGGTCCTTGACCCTGAAAACAGAGGTCCAACTTGGCACTCTTTCCTCTCTCCCCAGATGGCTGGAGATGCTCATGGTCTATCCCAGGACCAATAAGCAAAACCAGAAGAAGAAGCGGAAAGTGGAGCCTCCCACGCCGCAGGTAAGTGATAGGTTTGCCAGAAGGCTTACCCCCTGTGGAGCTAAGGCGAGGGGAGAGTGCCCCAGGAGGTTAAAGGTCTTCAGGACACAGCCTGAAATTAGGGGTGGGGAAAGAGGTCAGGTTGAGGCTGAGGAGGTCACTAGCCCTGCACATTCCCTCAGCCTCTGTGTGTGGACTGCACTCTGCACACTCCATTCCAAGTCACAGGGGAAAATCCCCTGTGGGCCAGAGTGACCCTACTGGTGTGCTCCAGGGTTGCCTATGGGAGGGACCGAGTAGCAGTAGCCCCGTGTGTTCCTGACTCTGGAAAGCTCAGCTGCTGGCAGGCAGAGTATGATGGAGGAGCTGCTTGCTGCAAGCTCTCCTTGTGCTCCACAGTCCAGGAAAGGACTCAACTGGTTCTGCTTCCTACACAGAGATGACTCTGCAGACAGCAGGCTGAGAGAAAAGCTGGACAGGAGGATCTAAGAGTGTCCCGGTTGGATGAGGGTTTCTCAGGGGACCCGATTGTACTGTTGCTCTGAGCTTTGACCATAAGTGGAAAAAACTGGCACTGGCCTTGATTTTTGTGTCCCAGCCCTGACTCCCATGTTACCAGAGTGGCAAGTGCCTGGGTTGGTCTCACCAGGTCTAGTCCTGGAAGATAAATGTCCCTGATAAGAAATAGGGAAAAATGTAATCAGAGTTGTCCCTGGACACTGAATATGGAGCTTCCTGCTGCAGAACAGCAGATACATATCTAAAACCCCCACTCCACCCTACTCCCCAAGCTGCCTGGTTTGAGAGAAAAAAGTCCCAGGCAGAACAGTGTTTAGGATTATACTGCGTTTCCATAGTGATGCTTGCAAACAGTGTGGGAGCAGAACTCCTGACTCCAAATAAGGCAACAACATGTGCAGAAGACACATTTGGCCCAGACTGGGAAATCTGCTTGTGTCCCTGCTCCCCAGTTGTCCCCTTCCCCAGGCCATCCCCCGCTCCCTCCCCCCCAATACTGCTGGCCATGCCAAGCTTCACCTTTTTATTTGGTAGCCGGAGCCACATGATCACAGCTGGGGGGAGATCACCACATACCTGAGTTCTCATAGAACCAGAGGCCCATTGGATCCCAGCCTCCTCTGCTTAGCCCCTCCTGAGCCCCAGCAGAAACCAACCTGGCAAGGTCTCTCTTCTACCTTTTGTTCCCTAGTGGTTTCTGAAAGCTGTGGACTTTCATTAGAGGCCATTAGTCTTGTGGGGTGAGCAGAATTGGTTTCCCTCTGAAACCTGATGCTGAAGGCATTCAGGCTCCCTGTGAAGGGAGCTTAAAGCCTTTGGACCAGATAGAGGCAAAAAGCCAAGACCTTATATCTGGTCTTTTTCTCCAAGGCCTCACATAGGCCTGGGAGAGTTTCATTTTAAACCAACAGGGGCTGGAAATGTCACTCCACTGTGCCCTGTTAGACTCTACCTCTGCTCTCCAGGAGCTCAGTAAGGCGGGAGTCCCCAGGGGCCCTCTTTAGGAAGGGTGTCTCAGTCAGTTGGGAGTTGGACAGTACAACAAAGTTGGGCCATGGACAATACAAGTACTGATTACTGAGCCCTACAGGAGGATGAGGAGTGGACTTCGGGGGGAGCAGACAGCCTGTTGGTTGGGGGAGGAGGTCCTAGCAGAAACCAGGGCAGGGAAAAGAGATATGCTGAAATTTGGGACCTCAGCAGCTTGGGCTCCTGGTAATAACTGCTACTCAACCCTTAGTCATCAACAAAGGAAAGACTTCCTGGTACTGAGATGCTTAGCGAGAAGGAACAGTAATCCACTCTGGGTAGACCAGGGCAGGAAGGAAGATCTTACCACCATCACCCCCAGTCCCAGAGCAGTGCCTAGCCTCTGGCCTCTGAGCAGGAGAGTCTGGGTTGTTAGGAGGAACAGAGGGACCTGGAGTGACTTCTGCTGTAGGAAAGTGTTGCTGCTGAGGTATGGAATAAGGGCAGCTGCTGACTGGAGGGACAGTAATCCTGATGCTGGGTCTTCTTGGGTCTTTGGAATCTGAGGAGCCCTCAGAAAGCAATCAGAAACCACCACTATTTTCTTCTTCTGCATTGGGTTCGGAGCTTTTGAGGGGACTCTACAGCCTAGGAATTGAATCTGGTGGTGGCTCTAGTCAGATGGGTAGTCAGTTATGGCCTGGGTTTGTGGGAACAGTCATCCTGACTTTATGCCATCTCACAAGACCTGGAACCTTTGGCAAGCTGAGGAAATCTTTGTACTGGCAAAATGCCCCTCTTCTCACATTGTGACCTGGACTTCTCAGCAGACTGTGGCTCTTGGACTTCTCAGCAGGTCTTCTGGGGTGTTCATCCAGGGCAAACCTCCTCCTTCCTGGACTTTTCTCTGGGTCCTGAATGTGGAAAACACTTGAAGCCCCACTCTACTTCTTTTTGGCCTTTCAGGCTGCCACCCCTCTCAACCCATGCAGCCTCCCCTGTAAGGTGGGTTGGTGAGAACTGGATGGTACAGTGCCGAGCCAGAGCCCCATCCACAGTCTGTGCCTACATGTTCTATGTGTGCACGTACATGCATACTTATACACAGCCTGTGTCATCTGTTACCCTCACCAAGGGTACCACTCAGAGGTGGCTTTCTAAAAATGAAGTTTGGCATTGGCGTAGGAGTAAGAGGTGGGCATTTATATGTTATACCCCATGTTTGGTGGAAGATGACTCTCCAGACCCAGAGTCATCCTGCCAACAGCCCCCTCAGCAGCTGGCACCCAGGATGCTGGGGTGGGCAAAGAAGAAGTCCCTAGTCCCTAGATATGTGGGGCAGTGCAGAATCCTGGCTCTGACTCTGTCTGGACTCTTGGTTTGCCATATTAAAATTCCCCACTGCCGAATAAGACCCCATATCTAGCTGAATGCCTCCCTTGAGAATGCTTCACCCACAGAGCACCACCAGTTCTGGCTTGGGGAGGGATAGCGTTGGCACTTCGCATATCAGCTACAGTCGCCTGTCTAGTTTGTGCAAGTGGGCGGGAGCGCAGATTTGAGTGGGATGTTTGGTTTGCATCTGATGACTCTTTCCTTCATATAGTATCCTAGATGTTTCATTTTAGCTTCCTAGGACCAAAAAGAGAAGGGTGGGTGAGGCCACAGGGCTGATCCCAGCCTGGGTGCTATGTGAACCTGGTTTATTACCCCCACCACCTCCCTATCCCCTTCTCCCCTTACTCAATCTTCAGTACCTGGAAGTTTCAGAATGACAAACTCTGAGGCCACACTTGTGCAATCTCACCTTTAATGCCTGAGCCACTCCCCTGGAACTCTCTGGTTTGGGCAAGGAGAACTTGAGTGTGTTTGGTGACAGGACTCCAAGCAGAAGCCCTAAGCCTTTTCCCCATTTTCCCCATGCATTTGCCAAGCCTGGTCTGAGGCCAGTCAGATCAGGCACTTTAGGGTGGCTTGACTGGGACTGCAAAGGTGAAAAGGTGCTGTCCAGAGAAGCTTTTACCCTGACCAGGATGACTCTGTTCTGAGCATTCCCTTCTGGGGATTCCAGGTACCAGGCACTGTGTAGTTGACCTTGGTATCCCCGGTAGCCAGACACCCAGGCAGCCAGCACTGGTACACCTTGGGCCTTGGTTCCTGCCCCACACAGATACTACTCTCTCCCCCAGGAACCGGGCCCAGCCAAAATGGCTGTCACCAGCAGCAGCAGCAGCAGCAGCAGCAGCAGCATCCCCAGTGCTGAGAAGGTCCCCACCACCAAGTCCACACTGTGGCAGGAAGAAATGAGAGCCAAAGACCAGCCAGATGGCAGCAGCCTGAGTCCAGTTCAGAGTCCCAGCCAGAGCCAGCCTCCTGCTGCCAATGCCCTTAGGGAACCTGGGCTGGAGAGTAAAGACGGTAAGTGGTGGTTAGGCTGGCTGCATGCCCACTGTCCTGGTGTCCCACCTCATGGCACTAGGTTTTCATCCTGACAGTTGGGGGCGCCAGTTGGGCCTGCGGAGCTTTGGCCACAGTTCACTGTGTAGGGCCTAGACTGGTGTGGGACTGGGGTTCTGGAGCTCCAGCATTGGCCTTACCCTCTCTATTTCTTAAATCCTGTCTATAAAGGAGGGAGATGGTACCTGCTCTGTCATTCCCAGGTGGGAGTCAAGAAAACTGTAATCGGGTCTGTGTCTAAGGAGACCGCTGGTTTCTGTCCATCATGGCTGCCCACTGTTCTGCGAGCAGCAGCACTAGAGGCAGTGTTTCCCTCTTTCATCATCCCACCCTGCCCCGGCCCTCGGGTGAAGTCAGGAAATAGGCTGCTGGGGAGGAAATGGCTGGCTGCATCACCATGCTTTCTCCACTTAGCATGTTGGAATTGCCTGAGCAGAAGCAGGGCAGCAGTCACCTGCCACCCGTGTCCAGATTCTCGAGGGCTCTGCAGGCTGGCCTTTCCAATTTGTATTTGTGCAGGTCATTGGAGAGGAGTGGACAGTTGGAATTGACCAGCTCATTCAGGCCAAAAGGCATTTTTGCGCAAATCCTGCCTGAAGTGCCTCAGTGCTGTGGTGCCACAGGCTTATCTACAGCTGAAACCCAGTCACTCCTCTCCTGCATGTTTTCTGCCCTTTCCCTCCTCAGAAGCATACTAAAAGACTGAGTGGCAGCTGGTTGGCCATTGGTATTCTCCTTGATGTTTGGTAGGAAGTAGTTGGTAGGATCTCTAGGGAGAGTAACGCTCTCCCAGCCAAGTCCAGAAGGAAGCACAGGAAACCCTCCTCTTCCCGAACCCCCAATAGTCTGGCCAAGAGGAAGAGAGGTTAGGGGAGACATGGATGCTGCAGAAGTGTGGAAAGGATATTTCATTCCCATCTCATATTCTGCCCTTGGGCCAACCATGTTTGACCTTTGAAGATGGAAAGCAGAGAGATGGTCTCTGATTGGATCTACACAAACTTTCCAAAAATCCTCGGAAACCAAAGATGGCAACGGGCTGAGCATCTCTTCACTTCCCCTTTATCTCTTCCAGAAGAGAGCACCATGAGCAGTGACCGCATGGACTGCGGTCGCAAAGTCCGAGTAGAAAGCGGCTACTTCTCCCTGGAGAAGACCAAGCAGGATCTGAAGGCTGAGGAGCAGCAGCTGCCCCCACCGCTCTCCCCTCCCAGCCCCAGCACCCCTAACAACAGGTATAGTGGCCCCGGACCGCCCTCCCAGGAGCTTGGTCACCCCCTTCCTCCCCCAGGTCCTCGACCCTCCAGCCGCATGGTCTGCAGCATCTCCCTTGGCTCCTTGGACGTGGCCAACCAGCATCACGCCAACATGGACTCCGACAGCACTGGGGGGCGGGAAGAAGAGACACTGGGGCACGCCTTTGCCTTTAAAGCCAGCAGGCAGTATGCCGCCCTGGCCGATGTCCCTAAGGCCGTCAGGATCAGCCACCGAGAAGCCTTCCAGGTGGAGAGAAGGCGGCTGGAGCGTAGGACTCGGGCCCGGAGCCCTGGCAGGGAAGAGGTGGCCCGTCTGTTTGGCAACGAGCGGAGGTAAGGAGGGGAGTAAGGGGCAGAATGCTGACATGCGCACACTCACTCACACTCACACAGTCTCTTCTGTACTCCCTCACCCACTTGATAGCACATGTACTCACATTCTCTTACACATGTACATTCTCATACTTACTCTGTTACATACTTTCACAAACTCTTCTCTCATATACTTTGTTACATGTTCCTTCTTTCTCCCCTCCCATCCCAAACACACTCACATGTTCCCTAAGCCTTCCTTGGGAGTGTGTACTAGTTCTTCCTCTCAGTTTAGAGCACATGGGGAACCTTCCCTCTGGACTCTCATCTCAGAACTTAGTCCCTGGTAGCCAGTGTGTAGGGTGCCTGGGCACCAGAGGTCTAGACAGTGGCTAGCTGCTTCCTGAATGCCTCCTGACCCTGGTACCTTAAGGAATCCTGGGAGATTCTCAGCTGCATAGGCCTTCTCATTCCCCGTATGACTGGATCTTTTCCTTCCTGGCCCCCTCTTCTCTGAGATGACTGTGGAGGCAGGAAGATCTAAGAGCAGAATATGGTGGCAGAAACTCTCCTTGCCCTTATAGTTCTCAACCCCAGGGGGAAGATAGCCTTGCCTGCTAGAAGCAGGGGAGAGCACAGTTTCCTCCCTTAAGCACTCCCTCCACGGGAAGCCCAGTGCCTGGGAGCATTGCTCTTAGACCAGGCTTGGCTCAAATTTGGAGGGGGTGGGGTGCGGTGTGACCAGAGCCACAGCTTCCTGGGGAGAGACATAGTTTGAATGGTGAGCCTACAGCAGGGGCCAAAGTCAGGAGACTGCGGTCACGGGAGAGGAGGGCTCTACTCTTCCCTTCTCAAGAGGTCTAGATCTAAGTTTCAGAAGGGTTCACATGGTGTTCTTCCTGCTCTGACAGCCTAAGTAAAGCTCAGAGTTGGGGCTTTCTATGGGAACAGGCCAAGGTAGTAATGGGCTCCCCCATGATGCACCAGCCAGCAACAGGGTGCCTTTATCTTCTGACAACCCACTTGTGCTCTCAAGGTGGAAAGGAGCTGTGCACCCATGCATGGTTCAATCTCCAAAATGAGGAAAATATGCCCATAGTTCTTGGTCTTGAAAAGAAAACAGAATGTGCCTCATTCCTAGGGAGGGAGAGGGAAGCTGAACTATTGCTAAGCATCTGCAGGTACCTGGAAGGTACCTGCTAAGTTCTTGTAAACCTAAGGGGCCTGTGTCACCAGCTCAGAAGCAGGATGATGACTCATGGGAGCAGCGCATAATGATAGAACCAGGACATACGTCCAGCTGGCCCCACGTCATAGCCTGTTATGAGGCCAAGGCTGTCCTTTAAGCAATTTAAGTAAATATGTAAGTAAAGGGACTTGCTAAAGATTCAGGAGGCCAGCAGGCTGGAGCGGGTGAGGTTTTGTATCGGTAGGCAGGCAGGCTCCATGTCCTGGAGACACCAAGCAGGCAGCCAGGCCCTGGGTTAGTGACCTGCCAAAGCATTTGGCACACCTGCTTAGCTTTCAAGTTGTTCTCATCTGGAAGCCCCCGGTAGCCACCAGGGCTTTGCTTTCTGCATGTTCTTTGCCACCATGGGGATGGGTTTTCACCTGCTTCTTGCATCCCTGGGACCCACTGGTTCGCATCCTAACACTGTAATGTCACTTTCTCGCTAACTCTGATAACATCTGACTGGCTTCTCTCATTTCCTAAGCCTCTTTCTGGTCGCAAGTACCCTGCCCTGTGCTTGGTTGGATTCCTGTCCCCTAGTTGAGTAGAGGAGAACCCCATCTTAGCAGGACATCAGCCAAAGCTGCCTGCTGAGATGGGCCTGCCTGGAAGCCCGGCTGTAGGCTTAGGTGGGTGGTTTCCTCACAAGCCATGGCTCTGAACCAATCCTAGATGGGCCACATCAGTTTTGCTCTTGTGACTTGCTCCAGAGACTAAAACGTTTCTTGGATAGTGAAATGCTGATCAGCCAATCATGCAGAGGCTGTGCTTTTATCAGAGACGGTGACTGACTATCAAAGAGCTCCCTTCAGGTGGACCCACCACCCAGCTAGGAGCCTGGAAACAGGGCAGAGAAGAGCTGTAGCTTCTTTTATGTGTTTGTCAGCCAGTCTAGTGAGGCATTTGCTACAATGCCTGTAGTACTTCAATGAACCTAGTTAAAAACTTCCCAGTTCACCAAATAATTCATGTCTGACGTCCGGGAACCCCTTCTCTGTGTGAAGAGGCTGAGCAAGCAACGCTTTCCTCTTTTTTAACCTGCCTTCTGTCTTTGAGCCCTGGCAGCCCTGCAGCATGTGATTGGCATGTGACTTGGCCAGGCCTGTTCCTTAAGGCCTCCTGGAGCTTTCTAGGCCCTACTGTTAGCCAGTGGGGCTCTCAGGCTACAAGTGATGGCACTGAGGACTGTGAGTGGGCCTGGATCTTATCCAAACCCCACCAAGATGGTCGGCAAGGTGGATGCCTCACCTGCCCAACCTGGCTAAGCACCTGCAAGAGCTCCCTGTGGTTCTTGGAACTCCTGCTGCTTCCTTAGCTTCCTGCGCTCTTGACACACTCCCCCTCCTGCTGCCCTCCCTCAGCCACCACCTACACTGCTGGTTCTGGCAGGGTGGCCTGGGAACAAGGTCCATTCCTGGAGAAGACTCTGAAGAAGCTTAGTGCACCTGAATGCCCACATTTTGTGGGGAAGCACAGGGAGGACCAGAGAGCCCAGGTGACCCTGAGACTTCTACCCTTGGAATTTTGACATCCTTGATGAAGAAACCCTAAGAGATTTTTACCAGTAATCTTCCTTGAAAAGCAGCTGGCCTCTTAGAGAATTTCAGGGTTGGAGCCTATTTTCTTTCCTCTTCATTAGAGAGTTAGATCTTAGTTCTGGGTTCACTTCACTCACTTCCCCTAGACTGTCCATCACGTTTCCAGAATGCAAGAGGAACCCTCCCTCCAGGTAATCTGGGGCGCTTGCCTGGGCCTACCTGGGAGGACAGGCCTCTCTGCTCCAGTGAGGCGAAGGCTGCTCCCCTGACATGTCAAGTCCAGTGGGTACCCCACTGAGCCAGTATGCCCTGCTGGCCCCCGGCCCCTCACCCAGCAGTGCCTCTTCATGACCCAGGGACAACAACGGTCTCCCCTTCTCAGTGATCACCTCAGGTTTTTTTTTTTTTTTTTTTTTAATTCTTTGGATAATTTTGATTTACCATTATTTGATTTTACAAAGTAGCCCTTTTCTGTTTATTCATTTTCCAGCCTTATTTTCTTTCAGGTCTTGCCCCTCTCCACCTTCTCCTGCTGTGTCGCTGTGTGACGTTATTCGCCCTTCCTCCGCCTGCTTCGCTCCCATCTCAGCTCCGTCTCCAGCCATAGATGGCCTGACGATGCCGCCGGCCCTTTCACACGAAATCAACTTGCTTTGTTTTTTTCTTTTGTTTTAATTTGGGTTTTGATTCTTTTTACTGTTGGCAGAAACAATGTTAATTCATGGGCTTTTTTTCTTGCTAAATTTGGATGCCCTGGGGTGGGGGCTGCATCATGTTCTGCTGAGGAATGCAGTGGGGATGGTCCCCTCAAGGTGGTGGTTGCCTTCTGATTATGTCTGTGGCTCCGGAGAGGATGCTGGGTGATGAGCTGTGTGATTGCTGAGTGAGTTTCCACAACAGACCATGCAGGGGGTAAGAACAGACCTGTTGAAAAGGGTGGCCCTTGCCCATGAGTGGCTGCCAGCCCCTGCACGACTCTCCTCTGCAGTTTGGGGAGAGGGAGATGGAGGCTGTCAGAGATCAATTCACCAAGCATGCTGTGTGCATGCTCTACACAGCCTGAGATGGGGAGGCGGGGAGGGAAGGCTGGGTTGGGTCAGACATGGGAGTATTGACTAAAGGAGACCCTCTTTGACTCCAGACCGAGCCCACCTTAGGGCTGTGGAGTGGCCTCATCTCTCCCCTCAGCAGCCTCTTGTCCTCTTTTGCAGGAGGTCCCAAGTAATTGAGAAATTTGAGGCCTTGGACATTGAGAAGGCAGAGCACATGGAGACCAACTTGTCAGCCGGGCCCTCGCCATCAAGTGACACACGCCAGGGCCGCAGCGAGAAGAGGGCGTTCCCCAGGAAGAGGGTGAGCATCTGGGGTCCAGGGCCAGTACTGATGCCTGAGTGTTCCTTCATGGCTGGCTGGGCACAGTCAGCACGCAACCCCAGGCGCCTTCCGAGGCTCTCACGTACACTGGGTTTTCTGCTTTTGTGTCAGTTTGCTTGTGTTTCTCATCTTCTCCAGTTGGTGAATTCTTGAGGGTAGGCCTCTCTTCTGCATCTTCCTGTCAGAACTTCATCCATGTCTACTAAAGGCTGTCCTAACGAATTTTAGATCCGGAGTCACAACTAGAGCTGCTTTCTTCTCTGAGGCAGCCCAGCCACAGGGCTGAACACTTCCCTTCCTCTTTCTTCCGAGTGGCAGCTATCGCCCTCATTTCTTTACTCAGTCCATAAGGTGAATTCTGCTTCTAAAATCTTCCTCCTGAGGCAGCCACCTTCCTCTCAGTGACTTGCTGTGGCCAGTTTTCCTCTTCCTTCCCAGCTTCTCTCATGGCTTAAGAGGTACTCTGCTGTGCCCACTGCCTGGGCCTGCTCACTGCTGCGGCACTCAGGGCTCTTCCTTCCTGTGACCCTAAGAAGTTAGGGGGTGGGGAGGGAGACCTAGGAGCCAGGAGAGTGAAGGTGACTGTGCATCGGAAGGAGAAGGCTGCTCTAAACGACCAGGGCATCTCAGAACCTGCTGTGAGAAGCAGAAGGCACTGGACAAGGAGCCCAGGACGCAGGCTCCTGTCCCCACCCTCACACAGACCTGCCATGGGAGTCAGACAAAGCCTGAGAACAAGGCCCCTGCAGCCCCCATCCTCCCAGGCTCTGGCTCCCGGCGCTCTGAGCTGATGGGCTTATACTGACTGGCGGCTACTCTCTGCCACAGGATCTCACCAGTGAAGTTCCCACAGCTCTACTCCCGGACACCTCTACTTCCCCCATGTCTCCACACCGAAGAGCCAAGTCACTGGACAGGAGGTCCACGGAGTCCTCCCTGACGGTGAGCCCAGCCGCCCGCGCACCGAGCTCCAAGCTCCAGAGACTCTGCTGCTTCTGGTCACTTGGGGTCACTGTCTGCTTCTGTCCGTGCTGGCTGTACCCTCTGTGCACAGGCCATCGTGTCTGTGTATGGGATGCACATTCTGTGTTTCTTTCCTTTTTCTGGGCTACATGGGCATCCTGAGCTCTGAGGTCCCCATGAGGGAGCCATCTGGCCAAGGCAGTGGAATCCTGACTCTAGAGGATGAGGGTCACCAGGGAACCTCCATTCTTGTTCTGGGCGTTTGTTTCCATGGCATTTTAGAGCCAGGCGCTCCTCTTGGCTGTGAGCACTTGTCCTGTTTGTGGCATTTCACCACAGAAATAGAGCAGGTCTTTGTTTCAGGTCATTTGAGCTATAGCAGTGGAAGTACAGGTAGGGGTTTTCAGATACAGTTTGGGTAGGACCCTTGGAGAGCCACAGGTGATAGGCAGAGGCCCTGGGTGTGAAGGACAGCTGCTCACGTGGTGGCTAGGGTGCCTCTCTGCTTTGTCCTCAGCCTCCTCAGGAGCCAGGACTGGTGCCACCTATCCCCCCAAAGTGTGGGGCCACCAATCACAGGTTGACATGGAACCATGGAGCAAGGACAGGAACATTTCTTACCTGGAGGAAGTTTGTTTTTTCCTTGAGCCTGGGTTATTCCCAAAGCTTTGAAGCAGAAGCTCCCAGAACACACCTGCTAGTCAATGTCCTGCCACTTTGTGCTTATTCCTACTACCCTGTCCTTGGGATCCAAAAAGACATAGCCCATCACGGCTCAAAATGGTTATGAAAAGAGAGAGCATATGGGGCAAGGGGAAGGGTGATCCATGTCTCTTGAGGCTCCCGGTTGACAGATGCCCAGATGTGAAATACAAACTGGGCTGCAGGTGACTGGTGATGGACCTGTGATCTGCAGGAGGACCAGCAGGGACAGTGCCCCATTTGGGCCCTGCTGGCAACCTGTGTCCCTGCTTTCCTTGTCTGCTGTCCTGGTTTTGCTTCTTGAAGGGAAATGAAGATTAACATTCATCCTGATAGATAAGTGATCTGAGGGTCTTCGCAGGGCTGCTGTTGTGTCTCACTCAATACCAGATGTGGTCTCTGCTTTCAGTCTTCCTGTGGCTTCAGCAAGAACTTCTGAACCTTGCTTTTAGTCATCATTGCTGACTTTCCCATGAAATGTTCGGTGACTCTGGGAGACTCCTTTTTGCTTTGCAGGCGGCCCCTGCAGAAACTTCTCTCAGAGCAACAGGGCCACCCAGCTGCTTCTCAGAGGGTGATGAGGCTGAGCTCTTCCTCCCTGTGAGCCTGCCAAGCCCAGCATCTCCTTCCTCAGAGATGGACATGCCTGTGGAGGTGCTGTGAGCAGCAGCACCAGGGCAGGGGGCTGTGCAGACTTGCTGGCAGGTGGAGAAACCCTTTTTCCTGGTGTCCACCTCATCTAGACAGAAATGCCTGCCCTGGCTGCTACCACGATGCTTTCCTCTGAACTGTTCTTTTTCTCCCTTTCTCAGCCCGACCTGCTGAATTTCAAGAAAGGCTGGCTGACAAAGCAGTATGAGGATGGCCAGGTGAGTTTGTAGCGTTGCTGTGGTTCCTGGGTGGTGCCAGACCAGGTGTGACACCCCACTGGCCTTGACTCCAACAGGTCTGTGAGCATTGGCCCTGACCCCCATCTCCACCTCTAGTATGCTCCCTTGTCTTGTGGACCAGGACTATAGACAAGACCCCCATCTCCTTAGAGAAGCAGAGGTACTTGACCCCAGCCCTGTTTCTGCAGTAGGGATGAGAGACACCAGCCAGGCCTGCCTGCCACAGTATGAGAGATTAGTCACCCTTCTGCTGGCCTTAGCCTCATCCTAAAGCACTAGCTCTCCACTCTCCTAAAAGGTACTGGGAACACCTCTGGTTGTTCCCATTTGCATATGATGCAGCCAAGTAGACAGGAGCTGAAGATTATAAGACTGTCAGAGACATGCTCAGCCATTGTCCTGGGAGGAGCCAGTGTGAGACATTTGTGCCATAAGACTTCGGTAGGAAGAGCCATCTGCTGCTGAACCTCCCAACACCACCTTGACCCTGCTCCAGACTGGAAGCCCAGGCCTCCGAAGAGGCATGAAGAGGACCCTTCTAGGTCCTTATTGAGGAACCCTTGAATCCCGCCCGTGCCCGTGCTTTCCTCCTGCTTCCTGAGCAACTCTGCCGAAATATCCTTTTTCTCTCTCCTCCATATCAATCCCCTTGGCCTTGCCTGAAGACTCCAGTCTCCCTCCTTCCTACTCACAGTGAAGACTTGGGAATCTGGCTGGTTGGTTTACTCCTGCTCGCTGCAGGTGGGCGCATCCCTGGTTAGCCAGCCTGTGGCTGTGACTCACAGGCTGCCTCCTTAAGAAGAAGATGTCATTTTCACAGCCACCTTTCAGCTCTGAGGGCCCAGCCCCATCTGCAGCCTCTGGAGTTGAGATTCAGGACTGCAAACACTATTCACCAGCCGCACCACTGTGGGTTACTGAGAGCCCACAGCCTGCGCCCTGCCTTGTCACTGGATAGCCGCAGCTTAGCAAACGTCCTGAGGTCATGTGCACACTGCAGCCTGAGCAGAGTCCTGTGTGTGTCTGCCACTGTGGGAGGGGCCACCTGCCCTCTGCTTCACCTGTGCTCAGGGAGATGCCCCAGAAACTTTGGCTATGGATCACCTTGGAGCAGTAAGTGTGTTGTGTGATATCTGAATCCTTTTTTCCCTTTGATTTTAGTGGAAGAAGCACTGGTTTGTCCTTGCTGATCAAAGCCTGAGATACTACAGGGATTCGGTGGCTGAGGAGGTGAGTGTCTTAATTTGGTTCCAATTGTAGAGACAGCTGAAGTGGTTCAGGCAGCTCCCAGGAATTAGAGACTCTCAGCACTACTGCTTCTCTGGGCTGAAGTCCCTTCAGTCTGTTGACAGTGTCCATGTTGCCACCTTTGGTTTCCTGGTGGGAAGTGTGGGCTCAGTAACTAGACCTGTTTTGGATGATCTCTGGTGCTGTGGCCTGGAATGTTGACCTGTTTTAGGCACATATGTGCAGTGGGTTTCACAGCTTTGCTGTTCTCTGTTCTTTGAAAAACATTGAAAGATGTGTTGTTTTAAAACTCAGGATGTGCAATTTGTTTTTTTGTACAAAGAGATTTTGCAGTGAATTGAGTCTTTGGAAGAACTGAACTAAATCTTGTCTCTTGACCTGGACAAGGATAGAATGTGGCAGATGAGCTTGGTTGACCCAGTTGACAGTCCTGATTCCAGTTGAGGACTGACCAGAGAGCTCTTTTATCTTTACCTACAAAAAAAATAATTTCTTATGAGCAGTTTGGCCTATCTTTTCTCTTGCTAAACTTCATCCCCACACTTTGGTAATAGCAGATGATTGAAAAGAAGCTAAATGTCTGTCTTTAGGGGCTAGTTATATGTATTTACATACCCTAAACCTAAAAGAATGCACTAAGTTCTTCATGGACTGCAGTGGAAAGTTAGTGATCCCAATTAGGTATTGACTAGGGTGGGTGATGCTGCCTAAAGTTAGGAAACATGGACATGCATTTTCTGGACCAGCAGTTCTCAGAATTTAGTCTATAGAACCCTAAAGACCCTTTTAGGCATCTGGGATATTTTTTAAAACTATTTTTACAAAACTAAGGTGCTGTTTCCTTTTTCTCACTGTGTTAACTTTTGCACTAAAGCAGAAGCAGCAGCGGGAGGAGTCTTAGGCCAGTCAGGCTGCAGCAGGAGCTGCCAGTGGTCATGGGTCCTTCACTGCCACACATTCATGATGTAAAGAAAGGGCCTTGATGAACCAGTAAAAGTTATTAGTCTTAAGTCTCAGTGCTTAAACACCTCTTTTTAATATGCTGTGATTCAGAATGGAAGTCAGCATAAGTCATTTCTGCTGCCTACCCAAGTGTGATGGTTGTCCATGGGGGAGCACTGCCCATTCTGCTGCCACTGGCCATTGGCCACTCCTCACAGAGCACCATAACTGCTTGGAAGAACAGCTGGCAGACAAAATGCTTGTTCAGTTTGGCAGACATTTTCTTGAAAATCAACCAAGTGAGTTTATTCCTACAGGGAAAATAACTGACAGAATGTGTTAACAGTGATACAATTTAAACGTTCAGTCAAAACTAGAACTTTGAAAAACTTGTGTTCACCATCCTGAACTTGACAGCTTCCCTTTAGTGATACCTTCCTGACAAAATAGGTGATGATATTAACAAACGCAGTATTTTGATTCCGTATAATGAAATGTCTCAACATTTGGAAAACATGCGTAACTCGTTGTCTTCCAAATGGCCAGTACATGATGCTATAAAATCATGTGAATAAAAGATGTACTCAAAGGGCGAAATAAAACTGTGGATTTTAATGTAATTGAGTACAGAAAATTAACTGTGATTTCAGATTCCACCTTGCAGTTGACCTTGTCTAAATAGCCACTCATCAATGGATAGTCAAATTTACCTGAAAATACTATTATATACTAAAATTTTCCAGCTCCCTTCTATGAAAGGCCAGACTGTTTTCATATACTTCAGACATATTGGGGTGGTTAAATCAGACACAGATAGGAGAATTCAACTATTCTTAGAGCCAGACATTAAAGAGAGTCACAGAAATCTCTTGCTGATTCTTTAAAATATTTTTTTATTTAAAAATGAACTGGATTCATTTATATTCTTAAATGAGTATATAATGATTTTTCCAATTTTAATATGGTAAATGTCATGAATCAATAAAACCCGCATAAAAACTCAATTTTTTTAAGGATAGGTTTATTATTTTTTTTTTAAAGGAAAAGAAGACACTTTCATAGACACAAGCTAGCAAAGGTTACATTTTATTTTTTATTTTTTTTTTAAAGATTTATTTGTTTATTTATTTATACAAGCACTGGGTACAGTCAGAAGCACAGGAGGGTGAGAGAATTCACCAGAGCCAGAGCGGGGAGCAGAACAGGCAGAAGGACCGAAGTACACTGCTGAGGGGAGCAGCGGGCGGCAGGAGAGGTCTGCGCGCCATGTGGGACCCTCCTCCGGTGGCTGGGGAGTAGCCGGGGATAGAACCGGTGCTACAGAGACTGCGGGCAGCTTCGCAACCCAGCGCTCAACCACTGTGCCACCGGGGAGGCCCGAAGGTTACATTTTAAAAGGACAGGTTTTTTAGGAAAAGGAGAAAGAAAGAGGCACCTGTATAACCACAGGTGGGCAGGAGGGCTGCTCCAGGGACCTCAGTTTTTAAGAGTGTAAAGGAGTTGCTACATCAACATGTTTAAAGAAACACGGGCTTGTGATGTCTTCGTCAGGATGCAGGGAGAATACCGTGTAGATGGCTCCAGGTAGCATAGGTGGGAAGTGTACTTGTTGGTGAATGGATGTGCCCATTAAAAATAAAGCCAGTATAGAAACATGCCCATCTAGGCCTTGACTTTTACTTTCTAAATCCCCAACATCCTTTCATCTCTCTGCAGGCAGCTGACTTGGACGGGGAAATCGACTTGTCTACATGTTATGATGTCACAGAATATCCAGTCCAGAGAAACTATGGCTTTCAGATACATGTGAGCCAGGGTAGAGTTTGGAGATAGGCTTGGTGTGAGGTGGGTGTGTGGGCTTTACTAGCTGGGACATTTCTCTGAGAACCTGAGGTCCTGTCAGGGGACAGTGGTGGGCAGGTGTTACGTCACATAATTAGCCTTGTGTTGTCCCTCCTCTGTCCTGTGACACCTGACCCCCATCCCCACTTTGTGATCTGGACAAAAATCAGACATGAGCATCTTATCAAGATTGTTTAGAGTTTTTTGTTACTGATGGTTCTTTTATTTTTTATTTCCCTTTTTTTTAAATGCTGGCGTTGGGCAGTTGTAAGGATGTGGGATGTGGGTACTAAGAATGAATGTTATTTAAATTTTAGATACTAGGTTTTTATTCACTTATTTTTTCATTTGTTCATTCACTCATTCATGCAGAAGTCTTTTTTTTTTTCCTCCAAAATCCTGTCAGGCTCTTGACAAGGATTTTGAGAAGGCACTGCCCATGCTCTCAAAAATACAGTCTGATTGAACAAATAGAACAGTTCTCATTGGCCATTTTATCAAAGGTGGTAACTCGGGGCTCCCTGGGGTCAGCAGGCTCAAGGTTAGGGCAGTCCCCCTGACTGCCATCTGCCCTCACTCTGGCACCAACTCTAATTCAGAGGGTGGAGAGTGGGGTGTTTGAGATTCAGACCCACCAGATACATATAAGGAGAGCACTGGCTGCCAGCCCCCAAGCTTTTGGGTATGGCATTCCTTCCATGTGGGGTACCCATGTGGAGCACCAAGCCAGGGTGGGAAGTTGCACCCATGGCCTGGCACCAGGGTCAGGCTGTGGGTTAGTTGATCTTAGGTCCATGCCACCCTGCTACATTAGTAAGTTGCATCCATCGGAGTGTGCAGGACAGCTAGAAAGAACACCGAGCAGGCTGGCACAGGGGAGAGGGTAAGGAAGGACTGGCCCAGGCTCTGTGGAGGAAAAAGCACAGGACCTGGCTCTGCCAGGTGAGGGAGGAAATAGGTGCCAGGACCCAAACCCCAGAGTCAGGCAGCAGTGGTGACTTTAGAGAAGGAGTGGAGCCTGTGGAATTCTGGCCGATGCTGTGTTTGAGGTCAAAGACTCTCTAAACATTAAACTGGCAGCCATAAGCGTGAACCTCTAGTTGAGAAGTGAGAGATGAAGTCATGGGAGGAAACATGCAGGTCACGTTAGCCAGATCTAGAAGCAACCACACCCAGGAGTAGAAAAAGGCCAAAGATTCAGAAAGAGATGAGCAGGCCTCAAAGCTTAGGGAGCACTGGGATTTCAGCATTTCAGAGAACCAGAGGCTGGACCCCACCTTGATTTATACTGAGAGAAAACTGAGGTAGAAGAGGTAGATTGTTGGCAGTCTCTTGATGGGGGTGTACTGGTAGGGACCTGAAGCGGAGATAAGGTGAAGTCCAGGCTGTGTTTTGAGTTTTCCAGGCCAGTGTATATGGTCAACTGTCCATTTACCTCTAATCACCCAGTTCACATCCCCAAAACATCTTGGTGATTTCATCTTACATCAGCTGATTTGCTGATGTAGCTCCTGGGTCCAAGTAGCCCAAACTGCTTCAAGAACAGTACTGACATCCTCACTTCAGTGAGACAGGAACCTGTAGGGCAAGAGCAGGGAAGTGGAATGCATGCAGGTAGCACCTGTGGTTCCCTTCTCAGATGGTGCTGACCAGGGCTGCTCAGGGATACAGGGACCACGTTCAGAGGCCACTCTTCACTCCCTGCCCTTGCTGGCTGTGCTGCTCACTCTCAGCTCTGCCTTCTGGATCTCCTCACTTCCTGTCTGCACGCCATCCCCACTTAGACCAACTCCTCTCCCTCAGCCTCCTCCAGCCTGCTTCTCCATCTTGACTGGTATCCCAGGCCAGGGGCCCAAGGATTGACAGCACTCCTCCATAGCCTGTCACTAACACATTACATGCCACCTCCCTATCTCTCAGGAACCTCCCTCTTCTCTGCTGTCCCCCTAACTAATCACCTAGGTGACTGCCCCAGCCACCAGTACATCTCCCTGTTTTTTTCAGCATGACAGAGAAGACTGTTAGCCCCAGCCTGTCAGTTAAGCCTCGAACCTGCCCGCTTACTTCTCCCTGGTCATCCCATCCACCTGCCAGCCCTCACCTGCTGTGCAGAGGTCTTTCCTGCTACTCCTCACATACTGACCTTTGTTGTCAAGTTGTACTCTCTCCTTACCCCTTGTCTGTGAGCTCCCTGAAAGGCTAGACAGGTCTTTGACTCAGCACAATCCCCAGAAATTGCAAGTATTCTGTAAAAATGTGCAAGGTCCTATAGAGAGGAAAAGAGGTCATTTAACTGTTACCACAGAAATAGCAAAGCATCCACAACTTGGCTATTTCTTTTGCTATCCAGTTGTTTATCCCAAGTGGGCCTCCCATAGTGCACCTCAGACACCTGGCCCAGAAGCAGGACTTGCACCAGGGTTTGGGAGGTGACCATCCATGATAATGCCTTATCTTTCAAATAGACAAAGGAAGGCGAGTTCACTCTTTCTGCTATGACATCTGGAATTCGGCGGAACTGGATCCAGACCATCATGAAGCATGTCCACCCAACTTCTGCCCCAGATGTGACGAGGTAAGACAGTTTGTCTGGGTGCCCGAAGGAGCCACCACCTCCTTCCTTTGTGGATGGTTCCCTGGTTTTTCTGGTGACTGAGCTCTGGCCATCCCACCATGGTGGTCTTCCCTCCTTCCTTTGTCCTGCCATCAGCAGCTTGCTCTTGGGCTCCCTGAATTTCCTACCTTGAGTACCTTTTCCTCCTTTAAGCCTGGCCAGCTTAGCCAAACAAGCAGCATCAGTATTACTGTCAGAACTGCCCTGAGTGGGCGAATCTCCCTCTGTGGGTGGGTACAGGGCCCTGGCCCATCCTTGACCCTGGTGCTGGGCCTCTGTGACTAGGATGAGGGCAGCCCTTGGCACTGTACTGGAGCTGTGGCATCTCCTTTCCTTGGTTCTCTTTTACCTGCTCCTCCGTCTTTTGGATTTCTGTGCAGCCAGGAAGACCTCTTAGGGACTCTAGGCCACATTGGAAAACAACCCTTGGTGGTTCATAAACCTCGTGATCTGCTGCATGCCTTCCTTCTCCTGTCCTAATGGATAGAAACCTGCTGGTTTTCGTTTCAAAAGAGAGGAGAAAAGATTAGAGTGTGCAGGACTGGCCTGTGATACTAAGAACTCTGCTGCCATCGCCTCAGGGCTGCAGAGTCTTTTCAGAACATGTAGTGGGAACAGTTCTTCAGGTGTACTTGTCGAGTTGGAGGTTATAAGCAGGGTGGTGTCCCTGGTGCCACCATTGGTGCCTTAGTGGCCTGTGGCAGCTGTGGCAATGCCAATTCTTTGTCAGTACCTGCCTTCTTCCTAGTGACCCTACACCTCTTTGAACAAAATGGAAGGAAAGAAACCTAAAATAACTCTTCTCTTTCATCTTTCTTTCCTGTGTTTATTGTTCATTCCTTCATTTATTAAACAAAGACAGTATTTGGTTGTTCCTGAGTCAGTGCGACCCGGAGGTGGTGGCCAGGACAAGCACTGTGATGTCTTGTCAGGAGAGTTGGCTTGTCCATTAACTGAACCCCTTGTGTGTGTGGAGACCCACCCTTGCGGGGCTGTATCCTGGGGTGGCCCGAGGGGCTACCCCAGTTCCCTCCCCATCAGGAGCAGCGCCTGAAGCTCTGCAAGCCTTTCTGCAAGTCTTTCTGTGTACTTTGAGAACGTCCCTAACAAAGCAGGAGCAGAAACTCGGACTTCTCTGCCAGGGCTATGGGGAACTCTTGGCCTACACTCTGAGCAGGACCCTTTGCTCTGTCATCCTGTTGTAGTCATCATAACACACCTGCAGTGTTTCTGTAGTAGGGGACCCTCCTGTTATCATCCTGCTTTCTCTCCTGTCTCTACTCAGAATCCAGTCTGGGTTTGCTCCAAAGAGGTGACTTGGAAAGGCAGTTTTCTTTCATCCCCTCCCCTATGGCGCTGGGCCCTCGAAGGGGTGGGAAGCTGTCACGAGGAGCCACACCTGATGGGCTGTTTTGCTCCTCCCCAGCTCATTGCCAGAGGAGAAGAACCGGAGCAGCTCCTCCTTCGATGCTTGCCCGAGGCCAAGTGAGAAGCAAGAGGCCGAGCATGGGGAGCCAGACCCCGAACAGAAGAGAAGCCGAGCTCGGGAGCGGAGGCGGGAAGGCCGCTCCAAGACCTTTGACTGGGCTGAGTTCCGCCCCATCCAGCAGGCTCTGGCTCAGGAGCGGGCCAGCACCGCTGGGCCCCCTGACACCCATCCTGAGGCAGAGCCAGGTGAGCTGGAGCGGGAGCGTGCACGGCGGCGGGAGGAAAGGCGCAAGCGCTTTGGAATGTTGGACACCATGGACGGGCCAGGCCCTGACGACATGGCCCTGCGTATGGAGGTGGACCGGAGCCCGGGGCTGCCCGTGACCACCGACCTCAAGACACAGAATGTCCATGTGGAGATCGAGCAGCGATGGCATCAGGTGGAGACCACCCCTCTCCGGGAAGAAAAGCAGGTGCCCATCGCTCCCCTACACCTGTCCTCCTCTGAAGATGGAAGTGACCGACTCTCCACTCATGAGCTGACCTCTCTGTTGGAGAAGGAGGTAACCTCTCGGAATGGCCACACAGATGGGGGGTGGGCAGGTGGGTTCCATACAGCAAGAATGACTGTGTGCTTTAGCCCAGATCACTGAGGAGAAGGGAGCCCTCAGGGGACTCACAGGCTACTAGAGAGTGAGACAGGCAGGCAGGTCCAAGAGCACAGTACAGATGCTGAGAGGTGGGAGCATGTCAGCTCATGCAGAGTGGCAGGGAGGGGGCACTGAGCCTCTCCCAAAGGACAGAAGAGTTCTCCACGTGGTGAGGGCACTGTCATCTAGAGTCAGCTGTGGCAAGAGATGAGGCTAGTAGGGTTATAGGACCCAGGTGGGGCTCATCTACCCTGCTTCAGTCATGAACTAGAAATTGTAGATGGGAGAGGGATGTGAGCAGACTTGGGTTTCAACCCAAGATCAAACAGGCTGGGCCTCCCCCTGGTGGCGCAGTGGTTGAGTGGTGGGCTGCGAAGCTGTCCACAGCTTCTGCAGCACTGGTTCGATCCCCGGGCACCGGCGAGGGTCCCACATGGCGTGCAGACCTCTCCTGCCACGCTCACTGCTCCCCTCAGCAGTGTATTTCGTCAGTCTGCCTGTTCTGTTCCCCACTCTGGCTCTGGTGAATTCTCTCACCTTCCCGCACTCCTGACTATACCCAGTGCTTGTATAAATAAATAAATAAAATCTAAAAAAAAAAAGATCAAACAGGCTGATGCTAGAGGCAGAGATGAGCCCCCCATTTTCATAGCAGCCTGGGGAAAAACAAGGAGACCCAAAGAAGATATGGGGCAGAGAACAGAAGATAGACTGATACTCCAGAGGCCATGGGTGAAGGGTACCCTGTCATCATTCAGCAAGGCCCATGCTCTCTCCAGAGTAGGTCCTCAGGGCAGATGGAGAGAGATAAGTAAGCCAGCCCCTGCACAGTGTAAAATTGTGTAAATGTAGCCAGAAATCAAATGTGGGATTTGATTTGATTTGAGGATTTGTAAGTCTGAATAGAGTTCCATGACCAAGGAGGTACAGTGTTAGATGGTTTTTTTAAAATTTCCCATGGGTGCACCCTTTATGAATACTCTTTAGGGGGTGCAGGTGGAGTACAAAAACAACACAGTCTTTTGTTGGTACCTAATTACTGTTAGAGATGTGCCACTTCGATCTACCATGACTACTCATCCTTCTCCTATTTTACTAAATTCTTGAGATATTTATCACTACCATGAACACTTTGAATTTTTTTTCCATTTTTAATACCTGTAAATACAGTAAGAACACTAAGATGGAATGATGAATGATTCAAACTTACTCTGCTCTAAGCTGCTGAAATAGGCGTGGCAGCCAGCAAACCACACAGCAGACTGCAGATTTGTGTAAAAGTCTAGGGTCTGTGCCTAGCCCTTCTGCTACTTACCCTGGGGCACGGCAGGGGCCCACATGGCCCAGCACCCTATAGGCACTTCGGAAGAGGTGGAGGGATTCTTTGAATTGACTGAACTCAGAGATGTTGAAAGCAAGAAGTATTTTTAGTAGTTTGTTTGCCTTCCACATTTTGCAGAAATACCTGCAGAACCCCATCTTGCAAACAGAATTTTATGTGAAATCTCATATAAAACTGATTAAATGGAGTTTTGGGGTGGAAGCCAAGGTAAGTCTTGGAATAAGAAGCTGTGCTAAGGAAACTGAAAGGACCAAGTGGGATGGTCTTCTTTCTGGTGCAGGAACAGAGCCCTTGTTTACTAGTGGGATTTGCATGTTAGAACCTTAGTAGCCATGGAAATTATGTGAGTGTCCACAAAACAGGTGAACAGCCTGCTGGTGTTATTTATTTTAGAGCTGGATCTTTCAGTTCTAGGTGCTGCAGATGAAGACCAGACCAGCATACCCACTGACATGTGGTCATGGGGAGGCCAGCAAATGTGTCCACGTGTGGTCAGAAATGTGTCTATGGGCCTTACTGTGCCACTGCTTCTGTATATTACCAGCATTCTGCTTAATAATGTATGTCTTTTTGCCAACAGTTGGAACAGAGCCAGAAAGAGGCCTCAGACCTTCTGGAACAGAACCGGCTCCTTCAGGACCAGTTGAGGGTGGCTCTGGGCCGGGAGCAGAGTGCCCGGGAGGGCTATGTGCTGCAGGTAGGGCTGAGGGGCTGCCACTGCCCTTCAGGCACTCTCAGGGACTTCAGCGTGAGGGGCACAGGCAGGCTAGAAATGTTTAAAACCTGGTGAGCGAGGCAGCCTCTCCTGTACTGCAGCTCTGGGCTCCTCTGCCATAGATCAGGCTCTCACTGCAGTGGATTCTGGTTATATTTCCTCCTAGTATTACATTTTGGGGACTCTACCTGAAACCTCTCTATGGGTTTTTTCTTTATGTTTAAGAAAGTAATTTTGGTGATCTTTCCTTTCGACTCTCAAAGTACCCAGTATACATCTATAGATATACCATATGTTTGCATGTAATTTCAAATTGGTTTTCGCAGTAAAGTATTAAACACATTTTACGGATTGAAGAATTGAGCAATATAGTGAGCCAAGTGCCTCCTAAAACCAAGTCAATAATGGAACTAGACCTGATTTCCCATCCCTGTTCATGTTTGTACCATACCTGCCAGGCAAATCTGGGACTATTACCACTAGCCTAGTCTCCCCACAAATTTCAGGAGGAAAAAAACATAGCCGCCCAAACCTGTGTTGTCCACCAGAGATCCCTGTGTCAGATCCTGGCCAGAGAGCAATGGGCATGACCATGGTGTCTCGCCAGGCACAAGGTTAGCTCGGTGGGGTGGGCCTATATCCGCCAACTGACTTGGAAACCCTGGTCTTGTTCTGGGGTAGAATACAACACATTCCTGCCCCATGGAGCTGACATACTGGGAGGGAGAACCCGTTGATGAATGAGTGCGGGGGTGGGGGGTGGGGAGAATAGGGTGCTGGAATGGAGAGCTTGTACTCCCACCACAGTTGCAATGAGCAGCACAGTGTTAGAGTCAGGATCCCTGGTTCAAACCAAGACTGCCACTGGCCAGCGAAGCCAGTGTCCTTTCCCCTGCAACTCCAGCCTCCTTGCCTGTGTACACTTAAACCTTTGTCTCCAACGGTCCTTCCAGCTCTCCATGACTCTGATGAGTTGCTGTGTAGACATTTCCAGACTGCTGTGCACTAGTCTTGATCCAAATCATCCCAGGTGGCACATCAACCCAGGTGTTCAGCCACCTTCTGGGCTGACTCCACCGTTCTGCATCTCTCTATGCTGATTATTCTGTTGCATGTTTCCTCCGCCTCTTTTCTCCCCATTTCTCTTTCCCTCCTGCTTTGACCTTACATGCCCTGGACCCTCCTCCCTGCCCTCTCAGCCATATTTACTGCTGTTCCTGGTTCAGGCTCTTGGGCACCAGGAAGGGAATGGTACCTCCTCCCTCCCTATCTCCGTCTGAGGGTGCCCCAGTTCTTTCATGCAGACCCTCCAGGTGTGGGAGCATCTTTTTAAACCTTGGTTGGGCCCCCATCCTACATGAATTCACTTCACATCAGATGGTTAATTATTCTAGCAGCAGATTTTACATATTGCTAACCTAAGAACTAGTTTCATGTCTAATGTAGATGATTGCATGAGTCTGCACTGGGCACAGCTGGTCTCCTGCCTTCCCTCTAGGTCTGATCGCTGATTACTGTTAGTTTCCCTTTGCACTTTGGAAATGCTTACAATCAAAGGTTTGAAAGAGCAAGGGGCCTTTGAGGTTAAAGGTCAGAAGGAGTCGTCATTCAGGATGGGTGCTACTAACTGCTGGGAGGAGGAATTTGCATGGTCTGGACGCGGAGTGTAACTTTAACTTAATGTAACTGAGTGTCACATCTGTGGCTTCCCTGCCAGTAGACTGAGAGGGGGCCACAGGCAGGCCAAATTCTTAGGCTGGACTGTTCTTTTCACTCTTATTCATGTACTTGTTTTTCTACGACATTAACTAGTTCTGTCTTTTCTGCATGCCTTTCAAATTGGGGAGTTTTGTTTCTTTCGTGTTTTTGTTTTTTGGTTTTTTTTTTTTGCATGCTTCACTTTCTTATTTGAATTCCACAAAGGTTTGTTTGTTGTTTTGTTGGTATCATATTTTATTCCATGGTTTCCGTTTTCCCCTCGTTTTGTCTTCTTACAGGTAGAGATTAGTTCTCCTGTTACTATAGAGGACGGGCTCCACTTTGCAAAGGAAAATGTTTCCGATGTCACCTCGCTGACATCCCCCAGCAGTTGCCTCCCTTCCTTCTCTCCCTGTCTTAGAAGGAAGTGACATCATCACCTGCACCCTGAGTCCTGCGCTTTTTTAGGGTTTGTTGTCTAGAGCCACGTACCTTTTGTTTTGCAAACCAAACAAACAGATGCCAGTGCTCTGCTCGACCCCTGTCCTCCCCGGCGTCCTCTTGTCCTTCAGTCTTCGTTTTGCTTATCAGTGTGTTCCATTATTCAGTTTTGTTTGGTTTATTTCTCCTAGAAGCTATTCAGTTAGAATTGTTTTGATGTTGTTGTCCATGTCTTCTGTTTACCTGGAAGCAGCTACTTGCCAAAAAACATTAAGATGATTCGTTGGATTTTTTTTTTTTAATGAAAAAAAAAAAATGTGCAAAGGATAAAAGGCAAATCCATCAAGGAGCTTTTCAGTGGTTGACCTGGCCAGAGGTGTGACACTCAGAACGGGGAGGCCCGAGTGTTACTAACCAGTGTTTAATCGGTTTTTTTAAGACTGAAGTGGCCACCTCCCCATCCGGTGCCTGGCAGAGGCTCCATAGAGTCAACCAAGATCTCCAAAGTGAGCTGGAGGCCCAGTGCCAGCGCCAGGAGCTGATCACGCAGCAGATCCAGTCCCTCAAGCGTAGCTATGGAGAGGCCAAGGACGCCATCCGACACCATGAGGCTGAGATCAGGAGCCTCCAGGCAAGACTCAGCAATGCTGCTGCCGAGCTTGCCATCAAGGAGCAGGCACTGGCTAAGCTCAAGGGCGACCTGAAGCTGGAGAAAGAAAAGGTCCGCGAGCAGCTAGAGGAGTGGCAGCACAGCGAGGCCACACTAAGCAGTCAGCTACAGGCCAGCGAGCAGAAGCTCAAGAGTGCTGAGGCCCTGCTGCTGGAAAAGACGCAGGAGCTACGGGACCTGGAGATGCAGCAGGCACTGCAGAGGGACCGGCAGAAAGAGGTGCAGAGGCTGCAGGAGCGCATTGCCGACCTCAGCCAGCAGCTCAGCACCAGTGAGCAGGCCCAGCAGCTGATGGAGGAGAAGCTGCAGCAGAACTATGAGCTGCTACTGGAGAGCTGCGAGAAGGAAAAGCAGGCATTGCTGCAGAACCTGAAGGAAGTGGAGGACAAGGCCAATGCCTACGAAGACCAGCTTCAGGACCATGAGCAGCAGATGGAGGTGCTTCAGAAAGAGAAGCTGAGCGCCAAGTTTGAGGGCAGCGAAGTGGTGCACCAGCTGGAGGAACAACTGGAGATGAAGGAGGCCAGCATCCAGAAGCTGGCGGAGCATGTGCAGAGCCTCAGAGATGAGCGGGATCAGATTAGGCAGCGGTTCCAGGAGCTGGTGGAGCGTGTGGCCCTGTCTGATGGGGACGTTGCTGCACTTGAGGAGAAACTGAGGGGAAGAGAAGCAGACTACCAGAATTTGGAGCACTCTTACAGGAGAGTGGCCGGTCAGCTCCAGAGCATCCATGCTCTGCTGAAAGAGAAGGAAGAGGAGCTGAAACACATCAAAGAAATGCATGAAAAAGTTCTGGAAAAGAAAGATCAGAACCTCAATGAGGCTTTGGTTAAAATGGTTGCTTTGGGGAACAGCTTAGAGGAAACAGAAATGAAGCTCCAGGCAAAGGAAGAGATCTTAAGAAAGTTCACAAAGGAGTCTTCAGAGGACACAGAAGAGCCACGGAGTACCTTGGAAGAAGCAGAGGGAGACAGCGTTGTACTTGCGGACCCACAGCTCCAAGCCACTGGCTTCCCACACTCACAGCTTGAGGATGAGAATCCTGGGGCTGCTATGGGGGAGGAATGTGGTGAAGGCAGCCCCAGGAGAGAAGAGAGTGTAGTGCCCCCGAAGTCTGAAGTATCAGACAGGGAGGGGCATCTGCAGAGCACAGCAAAACCTGACCAGGGAACACCAGGTGTGAAAAGACAAAGAATCCGGTTCTCCACAATCCAGTGCCAAAAATATACCCACCCTGATGGGTCTGAGAAGACCTGGACCAGCAGTACCTCTTCCGACACCAGTCAGGACCGGTCACCCTCCGAGGAAAGCATGTCCTCAGAGGCCACACCCAGCTCACTCCCTGCGACTAGTGACTCTGACACCTACCTCTCCATAATACACTCCCTGGAGACCAAGCTCTATATCACAGAGGAGAAACTCAAAGATGTGACAGTGAAGCTGGAGAGTCAGCAGGGCCAGAGCCAAGAGGCGTTGCTGGCCCTGCACCAGCAGTGGGCCGGCACTGAGGCACGGCTACGCGAGCAGCTCCGCGCCAGCCTGCTCCAGGTTGGAGCACTGGCCTCCCAGCTGGAGCAGGAAAGACAGGCCAGAGCAAAAATAGTTGAGAATCATGTCGGGGAGCTTGGCAGCTTCCAGATGAAAAATAGTCAGGCCCTGGCTTGCTTAGAAAACTGCCGAGAACAGCTACGGTCTCTGCCAGGAGCCAGTGAGGAGGCAGTGCAGGATGCAGCAGCCGGCCCCCTGGCCAGCGTGGAGAGCATGCTAATCAGCGCCATCCAGGCCTTGCATCACTGGCCAGGTACTGCAGAGAGTGGACCCCAAGGCCAGCTAGACAGAGAAAGTTTCTTGGAGAAAGAGCAGTCAGCTTCACAGCAGCCTGAACTGATGGAGCAGGAGCAGCTGAAGCTCCTTTCTGATCAGATAGCTCTGGAAGCCTCACTGATAAACCAAATAGCAGATTCTTTAAAAAATACGACATCAGACATCTCACAAGTTCTCCACGATATTTCTCAGGCAGGAAAGTTGCCCCTGGAGTCTGAAAGTGCTGCAGTCTGTCCTGGTGCTCCAGCAGATGCCTGGGCTAGAAAGGTGTTGGTGGATGGTGAATTCTGGAGCCAGGTTGAGTCCCTGAGTAAGCATCTGGGGACACTGGGAGGAGAAGTGACCGGAACATCAGGAGGTGGGCAGCAGAGGCTTGCACCAGCCCTAGTCCCTGCCCTAGCTGATGCCACGTGGGTCAGGGCAGAGCTCAGCTTCGCCGTGCAGTCGGTGAGGGAGTCTTTCCACCGTAGGTTGCAAAGCGTCCAGGAGACCCTCAAGGGGACCCAGATGGCCCTACAGCAGCACAAGCACATGCTTGGGGAAATCCTGGGAGCCTACCGAACCCCTGACTTTGAGAGAGTGATGCAACAGGTCTCAGAAGCTCTCAAACTTCCAGCTTGCATTGAAGACCGTGGACAGGGATCCTGGGATTTGAGCCCATTAGAAGTGCTAAGACACCAAGATGCAGCCAGCTCCCAGCAGCCCTTCCACTTGTCTGCCCAGTGCTCTGGGCCCCTTGTTACTATTCAGGAAGAACTCGCTCTGCAGCTTAAAGATAAGGCCAACCTCTTAGGGGAGATATCTGCTGCTATCATCTCTCTTCCCCCTGTGGAATCGGTAAAAGACTGTCAGAAGCTTCTCCAGGCCTCCCAGAAACTCTCCTATAACACTTGTTTGGGAGGCCTCAGTCAGTATTCTTCATTATTAGTTCAAGATGCAATTATTCAGGCTCAGGTGTGTTATGCAGCTTGCAAAATTCGTCTTGAGTATGAAAAGGAGCTCCGGTGCTGCAAGGAATCCTGGCAGAGCAGAGGGATCTCCCCCAAGGAGCAGGAGCAGGCTGTGGGGGCCCTGAAGGAGGAGTATGAGGAACTTCTTCGGAAGCAGAAGAGTGAGTACCTGGAAGTGATTGCCATCATTGAAAGGGAAAATGCAGAGCTCAAGACCAAGGTCACCCAGCTGGACCATCAGCAGCGATGTCTGGCAGAAGTGGAGAGCAAGCACAGTGAAAGCATGTTTGCCCTACAAGGGAGGTATGAGGAGGAGATCAGGTGTGTAGTGGCGCAGCTGAACAGAGCAGAGAACACGTTGCAGGCTGAGCACAGCAGAGTCCTGAGCCAGCTGGATGCCTCAGTCAGAGACAGGCAGGACCTGGAGAGGCACCATGTGGAACAGATGCAAACCCTAGAGGACAAGTTCCAGCTCAAGATCAAAGAGCTGCAGACAATCCATGAGGAAGAGCTGAGAACCTTGCAGGAGCACTACTCACAGAATCTGCAGTGCCTGCAGGAGGCCCTCCGCCGCTACCAGCGGCAGCCCCCCGAAGCCCTGCAGGCCCCTGGCCCACCAAGCAGCCCCCACCAGACCCCCTCCAGCTGGCCAACCGACCATTCCAGGGGTGCTCTGCAGGCCGCCGCCAGGGAAGCTGACTCTATGATGGGGCTGAGAGAGCGCATCCAGGAGCTGGAGGCCCAGATGGATGTCATGCGGGAGGAGCTGGAGCACAAGGACCTCGAGGGCAATGCTGCCTCACTGCGGGAGAAATACCAGAAAGACTTTGAGAACCTGAAGGTTTTGAAGCAGCATTTAATTTGCAAACAGTTGAGGGGCAGGCATTTTCCTGCTTGCTGGAGGGTGGGGGTGGTGTCTGGGGCGTGGGGCTCTTGGGTGGAGCTGAAAGGTTCTCCGCTTTGACCCACTGCACAAAATAGGATGGAGTCAGCATTCTGTTTCTCCCTTGACTCCTGCTGGCTGTGGTATGGTCTCAATGGGGCTTTGCTCAGCATCCCCACCAGGAAGAGGACTAGCAGGAAAACAAGATCACTGGCAAGAGAGGGAGTGAAGTCCCTACCACCTTTCTGCCTGCTGCAGGTGGTCTCTCCTTACGCCACTCCCCCCACCTCCCCCCCAAACCCCCCCCCCCCCCCGAGGAAGCCTTTGTTCTTCCCTTCCTGGCCTCACCCACCTCCAGTCACGGTTCAGACCCAAGCCCAAGGAGAAGAGTCCAGGAGAGACAAGCCCAGAGGCTCCCTTGGAGGGCAGTACAGAACTGGTTGGGGTTCCTAAAAGATAAGACTATTTCCAAGACAGTGTCAAGGGTCACTCCCATCACAACTCGGGGCACGGTGCAGAGATGGTGTTTAATGGAAGTTCTATCTAAAAAGGACTTTTCTGCTGAGCCCAGGAATAGCTGCTCGTATTCCTCCTGCAAGAACTTTGAGAAATAACCTTTCTGCAGCAACTGTCCTTACACCCCCACTCCGTTTCCCACTGCCTCATTAGGCAGAATACGCAGGACCTGCCACAAAGAGGTGATATTCCCAGGCCCTTGGCACACTGAGCCGTGTAGCGCCATCTAGGACCTTGCCCTTTGTAACCATGTGCACATGGCTGCACAGCTCTGCTCCCCAGTTTCTTGAGCCTCTTGAGCTCCTCGCCCTCCCTTAGACTCTAAAGTTTGCTCTGACACTTGTGCACATGTCTCCTCCCCTCTTAGAGCTATGCGCAGGAAATGCCCAGGCTGCAGACACCACTTCGCTGCTCCTGCCAGACATGGTGCAGTGCAGCCAGTCAGCCAGGTGCCTGTGGTTCTCTCTTGCAGCTGCTTGTCTCGCTGGCTCTGAGAAGAAAAGTGCCGGGAGGCAGCAGTGTGTTCCTTCTCTCCATGTGATGGCAGCACCGGCTGACCAAACCAGAGCCCGTTGACAAGCACCTCTGCTTGTCAGAAAGCTCTTCTCAGGTGTTCAAGAGGCCATTGCCACTATTCTTTTCCCAAGTTGTAAAACTTTTGAAAACCAGATGAGCCAAGTGCACCTTTAAACATAATTTGCACTCTTCCCTAGTGCAGTTCCCTGGGAACATCCAGTGGATTCCACGACACCCTGCAGGTCTGCATAGCAGCAACTGAATAAGCTGCTCCCATCTGTGCAGGAACACCCTTTCAGCCCCCATGTCAGTCAGCTGGGAACCTGTGTCACCAGCCTGGTGATGTACATCACCAGCTAGTAAATCAGAAAGGAGAAAACTACCTTGTGTTGACAAACTGGCCACAGATTGTGCAGGAACCCATTATCCTCCTGCAGTGACATGTCATGTTGGGGGCCTCTGATGCATTTTTGGCTCTGGTCTCATTTTTCTGGGGGTTCAAATGCTGCCTGTTCTCTAGATTACCTGTCCTGTGCCCATGGCCTCCAACCCACCTGAGGCATGGTCATCTACTCCCTTGAGATAGGCAGAAATTATAACCAGACAGCATCCAGCAGAGGAGGCCCTACTAATAGCTGTTACGCTATGCAGTTTTGTTTGGGCCAGGGAGAAAGGGGTCTTGGCCTGATAGCCAGCCACAGACTAACACCTAACCTCCACCTCTGCTATCCCCAAAGACTCCTCAGAGTGGCTGAGGAACTTCTATTGATACTAGGGACTCTTGGCTTAAAAATTAAATCTGTTACAGAGTAATCATTTTTTTAACAGTTCCACTCCCTAACATCTGGTCTTTAAAAACACCCCACTTTTTGTATAGGAAGTATTTTGAGCTTTTCATATTTGACCCTTATTCTAATGTACTCAAGTCATACTAAGACTGACAGGACCTGCTAATTTTAACTGAGAAATCATATGTGAAGCAAAGCACGAGGGAGCAGGCCAGAGGCAGAGGTTGTGCCAGGGTGTGCAATGGAGGCCCTCTTTAGATCTGTAGCAGGAGCCGCAGCCCTGGGCTTTTCTCCAGCTGTCCTGTGGTATGAGGGCAGCGAGAGGAGACCCGCAGCTTCCAGAGAGCTATTGGGAGAAGGAGTGCCCAATTAATGGTGGACAGCAGTTAAAATCTTTTCCCCAGTGCAGCAAATGTGTTGTAGTGAAGTCCAGACTATAACCTTGAGTTTAAAAATCCTGAATAGAGGATCCCAGAAAGTCCTCTGAATTCCTGTATGTTCTCAAGCAAAGACACCCCAGCATGGTGGTTTGATTTTTTGGTATCCTTTCTGGAGTACCTGTGCAGGATCAATCAAAGTGTAATAGTATAGGGTTGGGAGCTGGGAGAAGGAAGGTCATTCCCCTCCACTACTACCACCTGCCACACCCAGTACCTGCATTTGGAATATAACATGGCCACATTATTCCAGCTTTTAAGAACCAATGAAAGGTCTGATCCCTACTTTGAAACATCTTACAGGGGATTTAAACAGAAAGTGTGCCTCTCTGCATGAAACAGCTGTACATAGCACCCCCTCACAGTTGTATGGATGGTTGGATCATGCTTAGGGCACACCTGAGTTTGGAAAGCAGTTCTGTTATGTGTCTCGGTACAGTTAGTGGAGTCACTAGTTCGTATCCCACTTTGTGCTCAAAAGGAAAAGGAAGACACCGGCTGGAAGGAAAGAGATCCTGTAGTCTAATTCCTCAGTGGACGCCCGAGCAGTTAAGTGACCAGGTGAAGGTAGCCAGCTGGTTAGACTAGGCAGTGCTGGGCCCCCCAGTTCCTTAAACCCACCACTCAATTCTCCTTACCCATCATTCACAGAATGGCCTTGGCTTCCTCCAGCTGACTGTGGGATGCCCAGTTTGTGATTGACATTGAGAGCTTCTCACTCAGAATTGGCCGACTAATAAACCTTCACCCTCATCTCCCTCCTTCTCAATTCTACCTGGCTCTAATTCTGTAAAGTTCCAGAATTGAACTGCACCTTCTTAATATATTTTATATTTTTATATTTATATTTTACATTCTACTGCACCTTCTTAACACTAGAATACCAACTCCAAAGAGAAATAGGATTCAGAACAATCATAAAGACAGAATTTATAGGTGTAAACTCCCTTTTCTAACTGCCTTATGGTATAGAAATGCCCGGTAGTCTTTGTGTGGCATCAGCATCAGAGAACATCTGATCAGACAGGATTGCTGGTTCATTTATCAATCAGGACGCCCAGCTTAGCGGTAAAGGAAAAAGTCCATTACATCCCTTTGCACCTTGCAGGCCACCTGTGAGCGAGGGTTTGCAGCAATGGAAGAAACACACCAGAAAAAGATTGAAGACCTGCAGAGGCAGCACCAGCGGGAACTGGAAAAGCTGCGGGAGGAAAAGGACCGGCTCCTGGCAGAAGAAACCGCGGCCACCATTTCAGGTGGGAGTAGGCCTGGTGGCCAGGGCGGGATGGGTGACCAACTTTTTTTGAGCTAAATGTGCATCTCAAAGCAATGACCAGCCTTCCTTCTGTCTTTTGGCTGAGATTTTAAATTTCGTTATTCAAGAGAATTCTTTGTTGACAATTCTGTCTGAGAAAACAAGTGGTTTTGGAGCCCTTTGAAAGCCTGCAGGCCTGGCGCCACACCCCAACTCCTCATGCCCTGTGGCACACCCAGCCTTAGTCCAGCGGTGTTCCCCTCTGACAGACGCCCATGAGCATAAGGCCAACTCTGCCTGGACCCCTGTAACATCGGAACACAAAGGTTTTGGAGCTTCTACCTGGCAGAAAAGCTGTCACACTCACAGAGCTGACACACTCTGTCTAACAAGCACGATGCCACTGATGTTATGTGACCCTCCCCACTTTGTATAATTACAGTGGGTTATTATGTTAGTACTATGGAAGAAAGTAGACCAACAACCTGAAAGGTTGCTTGTTTTGTAAACTCATGCTTGAGTTTGGCATTCACATTTAACCAGTTGGTTTTCTTCTAACATTTAAAAAGAAAAAAAGCAGGGGCCTCCCTGGTGGCACAAGGGTTTAAGCATAGCACTATGAAGCTATCTGCAGCTTCTGCAACATGAGTTCAATCCCTGGCTGGCTAGGGAGCTACCCACATGGTGCAGCAGACCTCTCCTGTCTCGGCCACTGCTCCCTTCAACAGTTTATTTCAGTCAGTCCACCTGTTCTGTTCCCTAATCTGTCTCTGGTGAATCCTCTCACCCCCCGCACCTCTGGCCTGTACCCCAGTTCTTGTATGTATAATCTTTTTTAAAAAAAAGAAAGGCAGCTGCACCCCCTTGTGAGGGGAGTGGTGACTGAGCACTAGCAGTGGGCAGGTGTCATACCGCCCTTCAGTCTTAACCCCAAGCCTCATGGTGCTGATAGCCATGTCCTTGCCTTCAGCCATTGAAGCCATGAAGAACGCCCACCGGGAGGAGATGGAACGGGAGCTGGAAAAGAGCCAGCGGTCCCAGATCAGCAGCATCAACTCTGACATTGAGGCTCTAAGGCGGCAGTACCTGTGAGTCCACCTCCTGCCCTTGGGTGCTGGTCCCTGTGGGAGGGGGTTGTGGGGCTGCCCCTCATGTAGAGAGCAGCCTCTCCTGTGTCTTTGTTAAGCAACAAAGATTGAGGCCTGAGGGTGGTGCCGGTGGAGGCCAAGGGGCTGAGCATGTCCAAGGGGGCATGAGCCATTGGATATTGTGCCCCAAGAAACTGATCACCAAAAGCTCAAGAAAAAGATAACAGCAAAAAAAAAAAAATGTTATGCATACTAGTCACTTTTCAGGGCCAATTGATCTCAGGGCCAGAGTTTGTTCTTTATGTCAGCAGTTACTGCTTAGGAAGAGTCTGCTCTAGAACTGAAGCCTGAAGCTCCATGCGATAGCCTGCAGATTCCCTTGTATAGGCAAGAATGGAAATACATGCCTGCACAGCCACCCTGAATCCCTTCCCTCAGAACTAACACCTCTGGGGGCCCTTAGCTTGTCCCGTGGAGACCCACACACAGCTGGCCGTCACTGGGGCCTTGACATGTAGAAGTCAGGCTCTCACCTTCTCCAGGGCTTCCATTCAGTGCAGTCAGAACTGAGACAGGTGGGACAGCCTGCACACTGCAGTCACGCTCGCCTCAGCCGGAGGGAGTGGTGGCAGGAGTGAAGCCTCATTCTTGGTTCCACCAGTGAGAAAAATAGCCCTTTTCAAGTCATCCAGCTGACCAAGAACAATGTCAGGAGGCTTTTTTCAAACACAGACAGAACCTAATCCTGGGTTATCAGCCACAAATACCTGAAGAGTTTCACCGAAAACAAATCCCAAGTCTAAGAAAGAGTGGGGAATAACACGGAGTAGACTTCTGTCAACTTGAAGTACTGCTGTCCTTCATTAGCTGGGTGCAGACCTGGAGGACAATAAAACATGCTAGGGCCGGCTCTCTTGCTCAGCTCCTGTTGTGTCTCATGGTCCCTTGGGATTCAAGAAGGGAACACGGCCTGTTAGAGGCCTGGGTTCCAGAGCAGGCAGAGGAGTGAGCAGTGCCCTCTTCCCAGGGAGGAGCTGCAGTCGGTGCAGCGGGAGCTGGAGGTGCTGTCGGAGCAGTACTCTCAGAAGTGCCTGGAGAACGCCCATCTGGCCCAGGCGCTGGAGGCCGAGCGGCAGGCCCTGCGGCAGTGCCAGCGCGAGAACCAGGAGCTCAACGCCCACAACCAGGTAACCTATAGGCATCTCCCCAGTGTCTGGCATCTCTCAGCATGTGGGCAGAAATTCACTGCTGATGGCGGAGCTGGGGCCCTGCTGTTATACAAAGCAGCTGTTTTAAATTTGGAATCACTTTTGCTTCAGCCCTTTTGAAGACTCTAAGATGTCTCCATTCAGGGCTTCCCTAGTGGTGCAGGGGTTAAAGTCTCAGCACTATCAAGCTATCGCCAGCCACTGTGGCAGGAGTTCCATCCTTGCCAGGGAGCTAACCCATATGGTGCAGCAGACCTCTCCTATCTCGCCCGCTGCTCCCCTCAGCAGTGTATTTCAGTCAGTCTGCCTGTTCTGCTCCCCACTCTGTCTCTGGTGAATCCTCTCACCCCCCTGTATCTCTGGCCTACACACCAGCTCTTATATGCATAAATAAATGAAAATAAATCTTTAAAAAAAAAAAAGTCTCAGTTTGTCCTGAGCATCTCTGAATTTCTGCTTTGTCATTGCTTGGCAGGGCCTGGGAGTGACTCACCCCCAAGGCTTAGACCAGTCAAAATCAGACATTGCTCCTCAGAATTGCATTTTAAATTGCATTTAAAATCTTGACTAGTGGAAAGGCTCCTGGTAGATTTAGTTTGATATTTGATATAAGCTTTTCCAAGGGTACTGGGTCACTGTCCACGTGACTGCCTGGTTGTCCCTGGCCCTCAGCTGACAGGTGTTGTACCTGTCCCGGTTCGAGGCCACCTTATATATGAGGTACTCTGGCAGGACTGGTCCTGCTATGTCACTCCAGTGGCCAAAGATGACCACTTGTCAGTTGGAAAGAAAATACAGAAAATGAATGGAAAGAGAGGCAAGAGCACCTGATCCTACAGAAAGTCAACTGGGGCATACCATGACACAAATTTACATTAGGGCAGAAAGGCATTAAGAGCTCTGGATCCTCGATACACAATTCCACAAATACAGAGTCCAGACAAACAGCTCTTGTAAGTCTAAAACTCAACAGTGTATGTACACCCCTCCTATGCTCAGCACTTCTCTGCTTGTTGATGAGAAAACAACCTTTCCTGGCTTGTTGTGTGATTGAGGCCCCAAGCAGCTTGGTTCAGCACCCGTGTTTTATTGTGATGCTGTTTTCCAGGAGCTGAACAACCGCCTGGCTGCAGAAATTTCACGGTTACGTACGCTGCTGACTGGGGATGCCAGCGGGGAAGCCGCTGGCTCGCCTCTCACCCAGGGCAAGGATGCCTATGAGTTGGAGGTACTGCTTGGCCTAGTTCCCCTATCCCCAGCTCTGTGCTTCACAACTCTCCCCTCCCATACACAACCTCCCACACATACACAACTTTCAAGGACAAGATTTGAAGACAGCAGGCGGGGAAGACCATGGGAAGATACAATCCACATAGGAAAGCAAAACAGTCAGCTACCAGACAGGGTGGGATCCCAGCCAGGAGGTGGGGCCCCCTCAAGAGGCCACAGAACCTTTAACCTCATCCCTCACTCCCGTACCCTCCTCCCTTCTGTGTCTGTCATGCCATCAGCACTGCTGAAAATGAGATGGTTAATAACTAAACACAGCAGCTGCTTGAGATTCTGTAGCGCCGTATTACTCAGAGTAGGGAAGTTCACTTTAAGTGAGAATGATTTTTAGGTATAAGGGGTCTTTATGAAAGCACCGAGATTCCTCCCTATTCAGGTAAGATTTCATCATGGAAATGTCTCATGCTAGATGGATGTGGGAAAGACTGAGTTGTTAACAAAAGGGTCAGCAAGACAGCTTCAAAAGGGCCGCCCTGGTGGTGCAAGGGGTTAAGCATCGCACTATGAAGCAATCCACAGCCTCTGTAGCACGAGTTCGATCCCCAACTGGCCAGGGAGAAACCCGCATGGCGAAACAGACCTCTCCTGTCTTACCCGCTGCTCCCCTCAGCAGTGCACTTCAGTCAGTCAGCCTGCCTGTACTGTTCCCCACTCTGTCTCTGATGGATCCTCTCACCCCCACACCCCGTGTCTCTGACCTATACCCCAGCTCTTGTATGTATAAATAAATGTTTTTGTTTTTTTAAAAAAAAAAAAAGACAGCTTCAAAAGCTTAGTCAGTTGCAGGGTGGTCTTGGGTGCAAGAGGAAATGAGCCATTTTTTCTTATTCCATATGTAATAAAAACTCCTCAGAGGAGTCCCTTTGCCCTGAATGTCAATCTCTTATTTCTCTCTCGTTCTAGGTGTTATTGCGGGTCAAGGAATCAGAGATCCAGTACCTAAAGCAGGAGATCAGTTCTCTCAAGGATGAGCTACAGACAGCATTGCGGGTAAGGACACGTGGTGGCAGGGGCGATCCAGAGAATGGGCTGGAGTGGGGCAGGGGAAGACCACGGGTCTCCACAACACTTGTAGCACATGCCATTCTGGGGTTCATTTTCATGAGGAAGCCTTTTCAAAATCAGGTTTTCTCACAATACCAACCTGTAAGTGGGTGTAATAAAAATGAGGAGGCCACTCATTGGTCTGGCTTCCTGTGTGTGTGGTAAGAGCAACATCGTGCAGGAAGTAAGTCACACCCCACTGCTCTCCTCCCAAGGGTGTCCTTGGAATCAGAGAGGACAGAACCCTGGTGACCAGTCACTCAGAAATCAAAGACAGAGAGGGGTCTTCTAGGCTGAAGCCCACAGGGAAGTCTTTGAGGGGTCAAGGCTGCACCAGCCTGGCTGGCAGCATAGGCACCGCTGCTCTTGTGCTCACCAGAATTCCAGGGTTCTCAGCTCACGTTCAGACACTCTCAGCTGTGTCAGTATCGCTGTGTCCAGTTTTGGCCTCTGCTGCTGACATTCCCAGTCCTTTCCCAGCAGCATTCCAGCCTCAAAACGACACACCTCCTAGTCTGACAGTAACTGCTGTCTCTGTCCTTTTACCCATAAGGACAAGAAGTACGCTAGTGACAAGTACAAAGACATCTACACAGAGCTCAGCATCGTGAGGGCCAAGGCCGACTGCGACATCAGCAGGTTGAAAGAGCAGCTGAAAGCAGCCACAGAAGCACTGGGTGAAAAATCACCTGAAAACACCCCTGTGTCAGGATACGGTGAGTTCTTCGCCTCTGGATGCGTCCCATCTCTGTATTTGACTTTCATTTCCTTGTAGAGTAGAACCGGAGGCCGGGCCCAAGGGGAGCCCTGGCTTCTGCCCCTGCTCTCCTGGGTCAAAAACATTCTTACAGCGTGCTGGTGCCAGACATTGCACAAATTGCTTTAAAAGGAAATTAAGCCACTGGCATATATTCTCTTAGTAATAGCAAATGTGTCTTTCCGTTTTCTTAAAGAACTTAATAGTTCAGTGGAACTATTGTCAGAAGTTGCTTGATCCTGCCATAAAATCTGCAAAAGGCCATGAGGTAAGGGAGGGGAAGAGGCTCCCACTGAAAGGATGTTCTAGGTTATCAACATCCAAAAATTCAACATTTTTCTATCAGCTAGCCAAGGATTAATGATAGTGGCAGTATAATAGATACATGGAGAAAAAAATCATCTGCTTTGCTGCCGGGAGGATAAGTTAGCAGTCTTTCCAGAATGCTCTCAGGCAATATGTAGCAAAAATTTTAAATCTAAGCATAGACTAACTGTGAAAGAGTAGTGAAATGATCACAGTGGCTGCTTCTGAGGAATGTGGAGTGACTGCCGTATGGCAAGACAGGAAGGATTCCCATTAGGAGGAGCATATGATATCCTGTGACCTACCAGTTTAACTTCAGGGGAAAAAAAGAAGTGTGTAGAAATGTGCAAGCAAGGTTATTTAGAGTTTGCATAAGAGCAAAAAACTGGATTACACCTAAATGTGTCAAATAAGCTACAACAAGAAAATACTGCAGTTCTTAAGAGATAAAAGTGTTATTTTTTTTGTTCTTACATGGAAAGAGATTCATAAAAAATAAGTTTAAAGAAAACCCACGTATACAGGACATATGGTATGTGCTGTCTGACCCAGTGAATGTTATGTGTTTAAGTAGACTGTCGTGAACACCAAACACCACATTAGTGGTGGTGGTCTCTGTGCATGTAGATATGAGAAGGACTTCTCTCATTTGAGTCTTCCAGCAGTCCTCGGTTCTCAGCAGTATGCCGCAGGGAGGTGGAGAGGCCTAGCCTTTGTGGTGAGAGTCCTGCGGCCAGCAGTCAGACAGGCTGAAGGACCTGGCCAGGTGCCTCTCTGTTCTGTTGTTGCAGGGCTACAAGTTGTTCTGAAAAGGATCTAGTGTTCTATGGCTGTTCTGTGTTCTTTGGAGTCCCTTAAAGCTATTTAAAGAACTGTCATGTGTGGTGATAACAGTAAGCTAGGACATTTGTAAAAAGTTGGTCTGCTTCCAGAGGGTTTTAGGAAAACGTAAGTAATATATCTCTTTGCTTCTTCAGATATAATGAAATCTAAAAGCAACCCTGACTTCCTGAAGAAAGACAGATCCTGCGTCAGCCGGCAACTGAGGAACATTAGGTCCAAGGTGAGTGTGGGCCTCGCCCCTAGGTGTATGGGGCACTGGGGAGAGGAGCCCAAGTCACAGCCCCCTGCAGGGCCACAGCAGGAGCCCCAGGGACCTACCTGCTGAGCCCGTTGCAGTGGCTTTGAGCTTTGTGTCTCCTTTGAGCAGCGGTGGAAACACCTGACAGCAACAGTGACGGCTCAGGTCTCTAAGGCGGGGGCTGAAGTGAATTCCACCTTGGGCCTCTGAGGCCAGGCTTCACCCAGGCCCCTCAGAGTCAGCCCCACTCTGTTAGCATTGTTCACCACACGCCCCCAGTTTAATACTGACACCGCCTGCCTTCAAGAGAAGAAACTGCCAGCATCCTTCTCTCTACCACATGGTGTGCGTGTCCTCACCCCCTGCACACCGCTTCGAGGGAACAGTGGGTGGAAGGTGGGGAGTGACAAGCATATTGCGTTTAGGATTTATTGTGTGTGTGTCTTATGTTTTGCTCTTTCCTCTGACAGTCCGTAATTGAGCAGGTCTCATGGGATAACTGAAACGAGCCCGCTTCCAGGTCCCCTGTCATGTAGGTAAACCACCTCTCACCACCCACCCACCTGCCACCCTCAAGGGGGTGGCTGCCTGCATGCACTGCTCACACTTCCATAGCAAGCTCCTTATTTTATTGTTACTTTATTTTAATTCATCTTGCTCCAGCAAGCACATGCACAATCTGAAGTTTCTTTAACCTGTTCTGGGAGTTAACAGGCACTATGCCCTCTTAATAAGGCTGACCCCTTTCAGAGAGGAGCCCCTTCCCAGCATGGAGGGCTGGACAAGAGTCAGCATCTCAGGCGGGCACACTGGTCAGCATGCATGGTAAACAATCTGTGCTCTCCACTTTCTGGGGAAACCCATCTTGCTCTCTAGCCAGAGGTGGACTTGACAGATTCCTGTGGCCGCTGACAAGCCAAGTTCCCACATTGCTGAAGAACCCAGTGAACAGGCCGAGGCAGGCCCAGCCTGGCATTCAGGGAGCTGACACACGCCAGGGGTAGCTTGGAAAATGACTCAGTAGAGCAAGATGACCACAAGTGATTGGGGCTAAATATTCTTTGTTGTGTTTTTTAACAAAGCAAGAACTGCTTGCTGGGTGTTGTTGAAAGTAGTGTTTTAAAGAATAAGTAGGGGAACTGAAATGCTGCCTGGAAACACCAGGCTGTTGAGAAGAAGCGTGAGCACCTTGGGTCCCCCACCTGCACTGCCCACGCCTTCACAGGCGGCCAGGCTCCTGGCTCAGCCAGCGCCCTCTGCAAGATACTCGCTGGCTTAGCTGACTTGACCTCACTGATTCCCTGATGAGGAGGTTAGGCCTGGCAAGAAGAATACTGGCACTGGGCCAGACAGCGCTAGCTCCTTGGACCCTCAGGTGGGATCCACACACATCCCACCCCCCAAGTTCTCCTGCTAGGAGACTTCAGCTGGTTGGCTTGGAAACCGAAGCTTTTGGAATACTCTCAAGAAAATCTGAATATTTTAAACCTAGTCAGTTAGGTTTTTATCTTTCTGTAGTCCCAGATCACATACATGACTTAAAAGGCTTAACTGAAAACTTAGTTTGGGCTTTTTTTTTTTTAACGTGAAAAACATTCTGTTTATAGCAAGAGGAAAACGTGTTCTTTTTTGGTTTATGGTTTGCAAATCCTACTTCCTATTTCGACTAAACTCTAGCTGCTCTTAGTCCACTGGTAGTGCCTGGGCCTCCCAACCACGCCTGTGAACAACAGGAAACAAAAAGCCTCCGGTGGGCCCCTTCAGGGAAGCCCTGCTGCACTGTGCCCACCACAGAGAGGGTAGAGAGGGGTGCGGATTCTTGTAGGGAAATGCAGAAATTCACAAGGCTCTGAACTCAGTAAAAAGACCTTAATCAGTAAGGACTGCTACAGCAGGAACATTTCCAGGAAGTAGCTACTACAAAGGTAGAAAGTAAGGGAACTGCTGGGCACCCCAAGAAGTCTATCTGGGCCTCAGGGTGGCCTCAGGCTCTGAGAGGCCAGGATGCCAAGACGGCATCTTCCCAAAGTGGTATATGAGTGCATTTGGCTTGGCTGACCTCCAGCTAAAGATAGGCCTCTGGGCCAGGACAGTCCACTAATCCAGGTGAAAAACATCCGCAGGGACACATGATGCCAGTGTGCGTGGCCACGCATGTGATATAACGTCAGTGACCCTTCCCTGACTTTCCCTATCTGTGTTTGGAAACTCTACAGAGATAGAAGTGAAGTTGCCCAGAAACTGAATCTGTCATCAGTGCTCTTTGTCATCAGTGCTCCCATCAGTGGGATCTGATATGTACTGATTTACCTCTCCCATTTATCTTGTTTCTGTACCCTGCCTCACTCAAAAGGATAGAAAGTAAAATCAAACCAAGTTCACTGCTTAAGAGCAACACAGTTTTTCTGCGAGTGAAAACAAATAATGTTTCCCTCCAGCTCCTCATGGAGGCCCCACATCTGGTCATCTATATGGGGTCACTGAGGCATCATGGAAAGACTGGCCCTGTGGGAGGAAGGAGCCCCAAGGGAGCCATTGCACGCAGCAGCCTCCTCTGGGTGTGTGAGTGGCAGTTTGCTCCACTGTCCCCCCCTTTACAGCTAGAGACTGTGGCATTGAGCATGCAGCACCATGCTGCCCACCTCATGCTGCTCCCTGCCCCTGGTCAAGCAGGGACTGCCACTCAAGGTGCAGCAAGGACAGGTGGCAGACATTTGATGTCCCGAGGGGATAGCCTCAGCTAGGACCATGATGTGGCACACAATAGGGCAGGGCACAGCCACAAGTACCAGCACCTGTGCAAGGCTGTGTACGGTAGGCAGCCCCAAGCTGATGCATGAGCGCAGGGGGCACAATCACAGAGCCCCGGAGGCAGTTGTGTATTAAGGGAAGCTGGGTTTCAAAATGGGACATAGAGTTGCCCCCACATAATAGCAAACTTTAAAGGTGGCGCTAGCCCACTACTTACCCAGAAATCTTTCTGGACCTATGAATTTCCAAATATTTAGTAGTAAGACCCTTTAAAAAATAATTGCTAATTACTCTCTCTCTCTCTCTCTCTCTCTCTCTCTCTCTCTCTCTCTCTCTCTCTCTCTCTCTCTCTCTCCCCCTTCCTCCCCATATTAAAAACAAGCAGAGCAGTCCTTACATCAGGGGGACATAAGAGCCCAATCCCTCTTTGTCAAACCCTGGGGAAAGCTGGGTCCCACAGACCTCGTTCACTAGTGCTCACTCTGAAGCGTCAGACCGAGCCACCCCAGTCCCCTGGTCCCTCTGTGCCAGAGCTCCTAGGGCTGTGCTGAGATTGGAGACACCTGGCGGGGCTCTCTGGGTCAGAGGACGACCTGTGTGCACTGGGTCCCTACATTCTCATTCACGTCAATCTGGTTTTTGGTTAAAACTTAATCTTTGTAACCTTTGCAGGTTACAAAGGGAGATGAGAGATGGCAACCGAGGAACCAGGGCCCATCCCAGCTGGAGCCAGAGTTCCATTCATTCCTAGTCATGTTGCTTTTTCTCATTCAGAAATGAAATACTTGGAAATATCCTCCAAGAACAAAGTGGAAGATACCCTACCCCCCAGTTAGTAAAGTATCATTCATCTTGGGGCACACAGATTTAAATTTTACCAAGGTCCCACGTAAACATAGTATTGGTTATGCATTCTGAAAATCTTAGTATGTCCTGTGTTATGTCATGTTCCAAAATCCCCCAAACAGTAAATCCAGCAGTGATGGGACAGTGCCAGGAGCGGGTAGGGGCGGGGCAGGCCTGGCCAGGGCGCAGCCTTGAGGACTGGAGCCTGTCCTTGCCCACCATTAAGGGCAGCCCCAGAGTTCCTGGAGCCCCAGGCCTGAGGCCTCAAAGTTAATGGTTGCAAAGGAACCAACATGAGAGAACAGAGATGGGCAGTTTTCTCGTTCTTGGCACAATCTTTTCCTGGCTGAATCCATCTGGTTGCTGCTTGTCTGAAGAGCCCTACACTCAGAGTTCAGCTTCTTACACACATGGTCTTGTTTCTCTGATTTTTCCTTTTTTCATCCAGATAACACCATCTTTCAGAAGGGACATCTGTCTCCTTAGCATGCCCACTAATCTCTCAAGGAGCCCCTGCCCACCCTGGCACCCGCACCTCTGTCTGACTGCAGCCTGCACCCACGCTGGCCTGGTAGTTAATTGTCTCTTTTTCTCCTGCTCTCATCTCTACCCAGAGTCTGAAGGAAGGCCTGACAGTGCAGGAACGCTTGAAGCTCTTTGAATCCAGGGACTTGAAGAAAGACTAGCTGTGTCCCGTTCAGCCTGAACACACATCCTTCCCTGCTGGCGGCAGCACAACCCAAGCGCTGTTTTTTGTCTGTACCTTTATTTTTTATTATTATTATTGCTATTATTGCCATCATTAACTGTGGGTATGGATGCATGAGAGACTGGTTTATGGGTTGTTCACTCTGTTTCCCGCCGTGTTGACTCCAACTTCCTATTGTCTTTATGAAAGCTTTTTTTACTTGGAATTCTAAAATTAGCCAAGAGTGGGGGCAGGGGAGCCATCCCGGCCGGCATCTGTGTTAGAATCCCTCCTTGCTGTTGTCCCCTGCACTCACCGTCAGTATTAAGGCCCAGCAGCCTGGATAAGCTAGCTCTGTGTCTCTGTGTGGAATCAGGCCTAAGGCTTGAGTGCTGCTGCACATAGCAGAGGGTTGGTCCAGGGTGATTTGGAGAAGAGAACAAGCCATCGGGATGGGGTTTTGCCTGACTCACAGCACTGACAACCCACAGGCCTGGGGAGGAGTTGGAGAGCAGAACAAGGGGCATGGTTTATCACTTTGATTTACCACCTCTGGCTTGGAAGAACAGCATTTTTTGTATTTGTTCCACTAATGCAGCTTAGAACCACACCCCAGATAATCATGGTAAACCTTTCACAACCTGAAAAATGTTGAAAGCAGCCATTCCTATTTTTGTTTGTTTTTTATTAAATCTTGCACAAAACCCCGGGCCCTCTCATTCCTTCCTACGTTCGCTCCTTTCTTGGTCACCAGAACCCCCATCTCCTCGTAACTGCTTAGATTGTTGACCTGTGGCCTGGGGTTTCAGACTGTGATTGCAAAAGATGAATTCCCTCGGGAATCATTAGAAAAGATGATGCATTTCTTTAAACTTTCTGAAAAGAAACATTCACATTGCTTTTGAAAAGGCTGAGAGGAGACCCCTATGTTAAGTCAAGGAGAAAGTAGAGGATGTCGTATCAGATGAAATGTGCCTGTGACCCTAAGTCTGACTGAGCTGAGCTCTGCCAAGTTCCCCGCAGCGCTCGGAGAGCCCCGCAAACCGCAGTAACAACTTTGCTTTTACTTGCAGTTTGACTAAGACCACTTTCACGGTCTCAAAACGTCCTACAGCACTTCTTAAAAGTCTCTTAAGTTGAGGTTCCATGAAAACGCTCATCCATTAAGACAAGGCGTATAAACCACCCTCAGCTAAGCGGGAACCAGCCTTGCTCCCCGGCTGGCAGTGCTGGAGGTGGAAGGTGGGGGAGGGTGCGGGCAGGAACTCCTTCCTGCCTCCCTGCTCCGGTCCAGCAGCGCGCTGACTGTATTGCCAAGAGCATGTTAGTCTGACAGTCTGTGGGCATGTGAATACTTTGGGGGCAAAATGTAGGTCTTGCTCAGTTTCTAGGTTAAGTTAATGAAGAGGGTCATGTGAAAGAAGTCCCATGGGGGTGAGACAGCCCTGCTGTCAGGCTGCGCCGCCTCCAGTGTCCTCACACGGCAGCGAACGGAGGTGCCCCTGTCGCTGTCTGCTGGCATCACCCTCCACTGGTGTCACAAGCTTTTAAGAGTCTTAACCCACACTTAGCACTCCATTGCTACTGGTCTTCCATGTTTGTAAAAACAATATTAGTTGTTCTTTAAATTCTACTTATCAGCTACCCAGCCATGTAGATCGGGACATGGATCACGACCTTTTTGTGTCAGGCTCAGAGGAGAAGTGTACAGAAGGACCCTGCAATGCATGCAGTTTCCAGATGCTGTGTCAGCCTGTGTGTCCTGGGGGGCAGAGGAGCACCGAGCACCCTGCTTAGCAGGCTCTGACAGGATGGGGCATTGCTTTCTGGTCGCATGCAGGCTCTCTGGGCTGTGAATTCACATCATTCCTTCTGAGAACTCAAGTTTCCTCTGTGACTGCCTCCTGCCTCCAGCCCTCCTAGTCAGGCTCTCCCTGCCCTTAACACACTCACGAGGGCTTAAAGTTGACAGTGCTTTTGAATATGGGGGGGCCAAAGGGGCATTTTATTCACTTGTTTCCAGATGTCCCTTGAGTTAGGCCTCAGAAATCCTGGGGAACAGATTTGGTGAGTAAAACATTTGCGGCCCAATGGCAGAGCCTGGGGAGGACCTCTGTCACTTTGGCCACTGGAAAAGCCCTTCCTATTCAGTCGGAGCCGACAGGACTCTCCTGGGGTTGGTTCGGCCTGGGTGTCACTGGGAAATGGACTTTGAATGCTTAAGCCAGCCAGGAAGTGGGGGCACTGGGACTCCTCTCTAACAAAAGGCAGCACCTACTGCCCCCTCCCAAAAAAAAAAAAAAAAAAAAAAGCCTTGCGCCTCTCCTGCCATTTCTGATCGTCCTCGCACGGTGACAACTACTGCCTGCTCAGAACCAGGTCTGAGCTTCCTGCTGCTGAGTCCCGTCCTCCGGCCAGAGCGAGCGGGACAGAGTCGAGTCTCTACTTCCCACCTGTGTCCACCACAGATGCACTGTGCGGCCCATCAGTGTCACACGCACTGGCGCCCAAGCCCCAGGAGGGAATTTAGCCACCAAATTCCAGAAAGAAGAAAGAAAAATTGTGGAGGTTGGGCTAGTTTCTGTGTTGGCAGGGGGGTTGGCTCTGGACGGGTTTAAGCAGGTGACTGGCCTGAGGAGCGCCCCACCTCCCAGGTGAGAAATGTTAACATGGGTGGACTTTCACAGTTGTAATTAATTTCCTGTAAATATTTATTACTTCACATGTAATCTGTTATAACCTGCAAGTAACATATTAATGGGATAAAAACTAAACAGTTTGACTTGGTTTGACAGCTTTTGTGACTATATGCATGAATAACTGCGCATGCCCACTCAGCACACCCGCAGAGTGAATGCTTTCTGCTGGTTAGGTTCCGTCATCGACGGGTACAGTGCCAGCACCTGGACACGTGTGCATGCTGGTATTCCAGGTGACCGGGGCTGTCTGCAGCCTCCCCATGGAGGTGACATGGTGTCTGAGGCATCAGCATCTGGCCCTAGCCCCTCACTCACTGACCCAACAGCTAGGCGCTGGGCACCCTGCACAGGTCAGACTCAGAAAGGGAATTGTGGCTTTTGAAAAATAAAATTGTAACATGTGGAGCTGCCGAAAAGGAATTTTGACCGATGGGGCCAGAAAACAAAATTGATAGCTTAAAAAATATTTTTAAATGGTGTATTTAATACCATTTACTTTATCACTACTGCCTGTTGCTCCCCCTTTAGTCTGTTCTCAAGCTCCCCGTGAGACCTGGAAGCTGAGCATCAGCCCTGAGGCCTCTCTTTAGCTGCAGTGTGACCGAATGCTGTGCCCTGGCCAGGTGCCCTTTCCTGCAAGCTGTGTATTCTTAGAAAGGCCTTCCCCCCTCCCTGGTTGCAGCGACTCTGTTTACTGAGGACCTGGCAAAGAGGAGCAGCTGGGTCCTTCTGGCCTCCACTTCCTGTGAGCCTGTGCTGGTTCCAGAACAGGGGCCGGAAAGCACTTCTGCTCCTGCTCCCTTCTGCCTGCCTGGTGTCTGCACGGCCACTGCCATTCACCAAAACCTCAGTCCTAAGACTGTTCTCTGGGATTCAGACCTCCTTTCACTTAGAGTGAAAACCATACAACCATCAACATTTGTTTTTCCTGCAAATAAGTTTGCTCATCATTGTCCCAAAGAAGCTTGAAATTTAACTTTTATAAACACAATTTCAAAAAACTAAATACAGAATTCAGTGAGCCCTTCATCACCCGAAAAGGGAAGAAATTTTAAGTATTTTCAAAGTTTTGTAAAGGACACGGAAATGTATTTATACCCAAAAGGATTAAAAAAAAAAAAAACAGTTTGGCACTTTAATTGGAAGCTTCTCTTTAGTCACAAAATATTTCACATCGAGGATCCTGAGTTCTTAATATTTTACGTTAAAGAGGGATTGGCTTTATATGCAGATTTTAACTGTCACCCTAATGCCTTCTCCTCTCAGCTGAGACTATGACCAGTTCCCAGTGCCCTGGTGTAACAGCCCCCCACCCTACCTGAAAAGCCTCGGGGAAGAACGCTGCTGAGAACTTACAGGTTCTGAAAGTATTAGCACACCCACACCATGTTTCCCATCATTTGTGATCGGCTCAGCTCTTCTCCCTTCTGCCATTCTTAAGAGTGGAATTACTACAATGCTCAACCAGTGAATACTTCAGGGCTTTCTGTGAGGGTTTCCACAGATTTCACTCTTGGAAGTGTCACACCTCTTCCCTGGCCTCTTCATGACACCACATCCCTACCCGTTGTGAGCTCAGATAGCAGACTTCCAACCCTGGAAGTCACCTCACCTGAGATCACTGTTCTCCCCCGCAGCAGGACACAGCAGGCCATGGCAGCTCAGCCCTCCCACGGCGCTTAGGAGACGGGTGCACATTGTACTGGTGTACAGTTTTGTGTACTTGTACCCTGTGCGAGCAACTTTCGGCGAGCTTTTCCTTTCCACACTTGAAAACTTAAGTGAGAGTCAGCCTGAAGTAATCTAGTAAAACCACTCGTTCTAGGTTCTTGTCTTGACGGGAAGACGTGACATAAACCCAACATGACCACCTTAGCAAGTCTCTCAAATTTTGTCTGCTGGGAAAGGCCCAGCCTCGTTCTTTTGCCACTTTGAGTATTCGCGTTTCTCTATAAAGAGAAGAGGTCTCTCTTCTCTGGAGCCCGTCAACGGCGGGCTCTCACCAGAGCAGCAGTAAGTAGCCACCCCCAGGCCCACCTGCTGGAATGTGCCGGCCTCTCCGGGTGTCGTGTGCGGGCTCCCGAAGACGCGGGCTCCCCGTGGTGCGCGAAGTCTCTGAACACGATGTTTACTTTCTTCAAAATAACCTGTATATCAGAGCAAGCAGTGTAACTATTACTTAGAGGTTACTGCAGGGATTTTGTGACAGAGTTTGTGTGCATTTTTTAAAAACCTTATCCAGACATCCCTTTTTAAGACAGGGAGATAGCTTTGGGTACAACATTGAACCCTGGCACCCACGTAACAAGGAAGTATTTTTAAAGACTAATACATCTTTTTAAAAGCTTTAGTCATTTAACAGATGGTTTTAAAGACTGTATACGTGTATACAGTATCTCAAATAATGAT